AGCTTCATAGCATTGTGGTCTGAAAGTATGCATGGTATGATCTCAATTCTTGTATACTTATGAAGGGCTGATTTGTGACCTAGTATGTGATCTATCTTGGAGAATGTTGCATGTGCACTGGAGAAGAAAGTATATTCTGTTGCTTTGGGATGCAGAGTTCTAAATATATCTGTCAAGTCCATCTGATCCAGTGTATCATTGTTTCTTTATTTGTTTCTTTATTGATCCTGTGTCTAGATGATCTATCCATTGTTGTAGGTGGAGTATTAAAGTCCCCTGCAGTTACCAGATTCTTATCAATAAGGTTGCTTATGTTTGGGATTGTTTTATATATTTGGGGGCTCCCATATTCGGCACATAGACATTTATAATTGTTAGCTCTTCCTGATGGATAGACCCTGTAATTATTATATAATGCCCTTCTTCATCTCTTGTTACAGCCTTTAATTTAAAGTCTAGTATGGCTACTTCAGCTTTCCTTTGACTTCCAGTAGCATGATAGATAGTTCTCCATCTCCTCACTTTCAATCTGAAGGTGTCCTCAGGTCTAAAATGAGTCTCTTATAGACAGCAAATAGATGGGTCTTCTTTTTCTATCCATTCTGATACCCTATGTCTTTTGGTTGGAGCATTTAGTCCATTTGCATTCAGTGTTATTATAGAAAGATATGGGTTTAGAGTCATTGTGATGTCTGTAGGTTTCATGCTTGTGGTGATGTCTCTGGTATTTTGTGGTCCTTGCAACATTTCATTCACAGAATCCCCCTTAGGATCTCTCATAGGGCTGGTTTAGTGGTGACGAAATCCTTCAGTGTTTGTTTGTTTGTTTGGGAAGACCTTTATTTCTCCTTCTATTCTAAATGACAGACTTGCTGGATAAAGGATTCTCAGCCACATATTTTTTCTATTTATCACATTGAAGATTTCCTGCCATTCCTTTCTGGCCTGCCAAGTTTCAGTAGATAGGTCTGTGACTAGTCTTATAGGTCTCCCTTTATAAGTTAAAGCTTAATTACATTCTTACAACCCCACTTCTCACAACTCTGCTGTCCTTTGACGTCTCAGACTGCAGGCTACCCTTTCTGTGTGCCCCACACCAAGCACTGGCCATGCTGGCCTGTGTTAGCTGTTGTCCCTGCCTCCTCTACCAGATGATGAGCTAGGTATTGGGCACCAGGGCCGTTTCTTGTGCATTTTTCCTTAGAACCCACCATAGTCCCTGAGACATGTTAGATTCATGGAGATGAAAATCAAAGTTAACATTTATTGAGCACTTCTAAGAGCTAGAGCACAGGGACACCAAAGACGACTGTTAACCACCATTACTGCTTCACAAACAAGGAAATGTAGGCTTAGAGAGGTAAATATCTTGCCCTGAAGTAGGCAGCTGGTTGTCACAGGACAAATATTTGTTGAATGTATAATAAGATGTCACTTGTCACTTCAGGAATATTGATTCCATAGAATAAAAGTAATTCTGAAAACACAAAATTGTCAATATTACCAACTATGACATGATATATATATATTTTTTTTAATGTTTATTTTTTTTTTCAACGTTTATTTATTTTTGGGACAGAGAGAGACAGAGCATGAACGGGGGAGGGGCAGAGAGAGAGGGAGACACAGAATCAGAAACAGGCTCCAGGCTCTGAGCCATCAGCCCAGAGCCTGACACGGGGCTCGAACTCACGGACCGCGAGATCGTGACCTGGCTGAAGTCGGACGCTTAACCGACTGCGCCACCCAGGTGCCCCTTTAATGTTTATTTTTGAGAGAGAGAGAAACAGTGTGAGTGGGGAAGGGGCAGAGAGAGAGAGAGACACAGAATCCAAAGCAGGCTCCAGGCTCCGAGCTGTCAGCTCAGAGCCCGACATAGGGCTCAAACCTATGAACCTTGAGATCATGACCTGAGCCAACGTTGGACACTTAACTTCCTGAGCCACCCAGGTACCCCATGACACAATATATTTGAAGAACTTAGCATTTTATTTGACTTAAAGACATTGGTTTTGCATACATTGATCTACAGCATTACCTGTTTTGGATTTCTCAGTTTCTCCTAATAACTTCTCCCTTTATCAGCACTATAGAGGGTGATGAAGTAATATCCCCATATCTTCCCATCACCAACTCCTCTGCCTAATACAGAAGTTCTAACACTTGAATAGGCATCACAACTGGGAGGGCTTATTGAAACAGATTGCTTCTCCTTTTCCCAAGTTTCTGATCCACTGGGAGCCTGAGAATCTTCATTTCTAATGATATCTAATGACTGATACTGCTAGCCCAGGGGCCCATTTTGAGAATTCAAGGGAACTACTGCACCCATGTTTACACAGTCATACCCCCTGCTGCTCCAGGTCCCTTTCCCCTATTTGCCATGTCCTGGAAAACACAATCTACCTATACCTGCATGTTTGAAGAGAGATCCCTTATTATAAACAGACCCTTCTTCCCCTGGGAGGCTTGTGGGCCACTGATTGACCCAGTAAGAAGAGACAAGATTTGAACTGAGAATAAGATCCCTTGGCCTCTGGTCCTGGCTCTATCTGACTTTACATGACCCAGGCAAGTCCCTGCTGAAGTCTCTTCTCCACACAGAGAAAGACATGGCATCAATCCCTAAGGACCCCTGGTCTCATATTTTCTTTCTCTGAAATGCGTATTCAAGCAGCTGACTCATCAGGCCATACGTGAATGTGTGACAGTCTCTGCAGAGCAGACCACTATAAACAGAGCCACATTTATTCATCCATTCTCATTTCCTGCTGAAGGGGTTCAGAAACCATAATTGCCTTCAATGAATTTTCTAGTTCAATTATTTTTTTATAACTTCATTGCTTTAGGACTCTTTGGCCCTATGTGAAGTGAGAAAATGCTTCTGTTATAGCTCATTATTAAAAGCAGCCATGCCTCTTTGTTTATATGAAGTATTTATATAAATAATACCAAAATACCACATTATTTTTTTAATATGATTTATTGTCAAACTAGCTAACATACAGTGTATACAGTGTTCTCTTGGATTCGGGAGTAGATTTCCATGATTCATCACTTACATACAACACCCAGTGCTCATCCCAAGTGCCCTCCTCAATGCCCATCACTCATTTCCCCTACCCCCATCAACCCCTCAGTTTGTTCTCTGTATTTAAGAGTCTCTTATGGTTTGCCTCCCTCCCTCTCTGTTTGTAACTATTTTTTTTCCTTCCCCTCCTCCATGGTCTTCAGTTAAGTTTCTCAAATTCCACATATGAGTGAAAACATATATCTGTCTTTCTCTGACTGAGTTTCTCTTATTTCGCTTAGCATAATACCCTCCAGTTCCATCCTCGTTGTTGCAAATGGCAAGATTTCATTCTTTTTCATCACTTAGTAGTATTCCATTGTATATATAAACCACATTTTCTTTATCCATTCATCAGTTGATGGACATTTGGACTCTTTCCATAATTTGGCTATTGTTGATAGCACTGCTATGAATATTAAGGTGCATGTACCCCTATGAATCAGCACGCTGTTTCCTTTGGATAAATTCCCAGTAGTGTTCTTGCTGGGTCATAGTGTAATTCTGTTTTCAACTTTTTGAGGAACCTCCACACTGTTTTCCAGAGTGGCTGCACCAGTTTGCATTCCCACCAACAGTGCAACAGGGTTCCCCTTTTTCCACATCCTCATCAACATCTGTTGTTTCCTGAGTTGTTAATTTTAGCCACTCTTGAGTGGTGTGAGGTGCCACAATACTACATTAAAAATGTTTAATTTTTTTTATTTTTAATGTTTATTAATTTTGAGAAAGACAGAAAGACAGTGGGAGCAGAGTAGGGACAGAGAGAAGGAGACACAGAATCCAAAGCAGGCTCCAGACTCTGAGCTGTCAGCAGAGCCTGATGCAGGGCTCAAACTCACGAGCAGTGGGATCATGACCTGAGCCGACGTCAGACACTCAACCAACTGAGCCACCCAGGCGCTCCCAGTACCACATTTTAAAGGCTAATGAGGGGTTTAAAAGACTTTTATCTCACATCACTTATGACTAATTTCTCACCTCAGAGTAAATCCAGTGAGGCTTATTGGAAGTGGCTGAGCACTGCTGAACACCTTGCAGATCAGTTGAGTAGGAAAAAGTACAGTATTGCTCCTCACGGTTTAAGAATTCAGTAACAGGGGCGCCTGGGTGGCGCAGTCGGTTAAGCGTCCGACTTCAGCCAGGTCACGATCTCGCAGTCCGTGAGTTCGAGCCCCGCGTCAGGCTCTGGGCTGACAGCTTAGAGCCTGGAGCCTGTTTCCGATTCTGTGTCTCCCTCTCTCTCTGCCCCTCCCCCGTTCATGCTCTGTCTCTCTCTGTCCCAAAAATAAATAAAAAAACGTTGAAAAAAAATTTAAAAAAGAATTCAGTAACAAATGCAGGTGCCCCAGTGATGAGGCAGTGGCGAGGCAGCAGTCCCAAGGTCTCTAGGTCCTATGGGGACAAACAGTGGAGCTTTTTATCCTGAAGTAGAATCTCTGAAGGAAACACTCATACCTTGCTCAACTCAGAATCATGTCAGCCATTCGAGTAAGGGCTAGCTCTGCTGCAAGCTTCCTTTGTGACTGGCTGACTAGAGGGTAAAGTTCTAACCAAATGTATTTTACTCACACAAATTCTTTTGAGTGTACATTTTTTTAAGAAAGAGAAACACTTGACAAAGACCTCTTTTGTATCCAAAATACTTTTCTTTACATGGAATCCTTGCCTTTTGACCCTAGACTGGGAAAAGAGTATCTGAGGTGTGTAAGTTCCAACTTTAAACCACTGGAGTGGGGAGCCTTCCTAATCAAGGGGGCAGAGTGGTTTCTTGGTGCTGTAGATGAGGTCCTGCCTTCCCTCGGATTTATTTGGTACAAGGACAAAATCAGGAAGCAGTTCCCAGCCATTCTCACCTGTGGTAGGAGCTAGATTTCCCAATCTTCCTCTGAGGTCAGCTTGGGTTCATGAAGTCTCTGCTTCCCTCTAGGTGGAGGCTGAGCTGATTGACAAGCTGGACAGCATGGTGTCAGAAGGGAAAGGCGACGAGAGTTACAGAGAGCTCTTCGGCCTGCTGTAAGCTGCTTTAGCCCCAAGCACCCCACACTGGGGGAGGGGGTGAAATGGGCTGATGAGGGGTAGGGGTGCAACCCACGTTGGCTGGGCTTCAGAGGGTGAGTATCAGGAGTGACCTAGATTGTTCCTAGTCAATAGGACGGTGGCATTATGGCAGCAAGCTCTCAGGGATTGCCATAGTTGACTAAAGAGGTAGAGACAGGCGGTAACTCTGAGCTCTTAGATTTGCTGATAGGAAAAGGGTCTTTATATGTCTTCATAGCATGCACTGTATCCAGTTGGGCACACAGCCCATGGGGACTCTCTGAGGGCTCAGTGCTGGCATTTCTGAGAGGTAAACAATTAAATCCTTGCTTCATAAGATGGTACAATCAACTTTGAAAAAACATTACCATGGATCTTGTGACTTTAACAAATTGTGCCCACTCTCCAGGACAGTTTCCCTGTTTGTGAAACAGGGTGTTTGTACTGAGTGATGTCAGGGATTTTCCCAGGTCCACATTCATAGCTCCTGTCTTTTTTTTTTTAAACATTTATTTTTCAGACACAGAGAGACAGAGCATGAACAGGGGAGGGTCAGAGAGAGGGAGACACAGAATCTGAAACAGGCTCCAGGCTCTGAGCTGTCAGCACAGAGCCCCATGCGGGGCTCAAACTCACGGACCACGAGATCAACCTGAGCCAAAGTCGGACGCTTAACCGACTGAGCCACCCAGGCGCCCCTCATAGCTCCTGTCTTGAAATGTTGGAGGCCAAGAGTCTTTGCCACAGGGCTAAGTCCAAAGGAGGGACTCGGGAGAGCCATGATTCTCCCAGATAGATAGTGATGCTGGACATTTTATCTTCCAAAAAAACTAAAGCTGGAAATAATGAGTGAGATGGGAGGGGACTCTAGAGCTATAAAAATCTTTAGACTTTTATAGCTCTAGAGTCCCCTCCCATCTCACTCATTATTTCCAGCTTTAATATTTTCTTTGTTTTCATGCCATTTTGAAGACAAGCCTATGACATATTTTTCCAATAATAATACTGTACATTTGCTTAGAACTTTACAGTGTACAAATGTGTTGACATTTCTTACTTAATCCTCACAACACACCTGTGAAGTGAGCAGGGCAGAAATTATCTTCATGAATAAAGGTGGTGAAACTGAGATGAGGAAAGTGTTAGCATGCCCTCGGTTGAATGACCTGTGAAAAGCCACTCTGGGGGGAGGACTCAGATCTTCCAATTTCAAGAAGGGGGAATCTTTCTGCTATATCCTACCCACTTTGTTCCTTAATGAGTCACACAAAATGTGAATTTATTTGAAATTTAAATAATTATAATTTGTGTAAATGAATCTATACCTTAGTATTTTTCTTTTAGCTAAAGATGTTTCTAACTGTGGAAATAATGCAGAGAAATATCTTCCTAAGTCACTAACAGATGATTTTACTACAAAGGAAAAAGCACACAAATAACTTGCACTTACTAATTACCTGACCAAATAGTGTTTCATAAACTCTTCTAAATCATGTTCGAGGACTGAAAACTTCCGAGAACCATAAAGCAGCATTTCCCAATTTGTGTTTTGGGGAAGTTGCTGGGGGAAAAAAGTAAGTGGTCAGTTCAGAAAAGATTCAATTAAACAAAATTGAGCAGACCTCTATTACAGGACTTAGCAAAGCCTTTAATAGGCAGAAAGATGTGAAATATCTCTGACAGGAGTGTGTAGTGACCAGCATTTCCCAGGCTTGTTTGCTCGCAGAACACCTTTCTTGGTCCTCCAGGACAGCAGAGCTCTGGAGAATAGTTTGGGAAATACTGACACAGTGGCTTCATCCACACAGCTCAGAGGCCAGAGCAATGGTGTGCCTTCTCTCTCTAGTAATATAAGTCACATGGGAAACCCTCACTTTCCCAGAAGCCTCAGCTCAGGCCATATACTCTGTGTGGGGAAGACTGTCGCCATCATGGCAGCATTAACAGCAGCCAGGTTGTGAGTGGGAGTGCCCAGTGCTGGGCTTTTAGCTGGGCCTGCCACTCCAGGTGACTTTCATGACTTTTAGTGAGTGAGGGACAGTGTAGAAAGGAATCAGGAATGAGACCTGGACCTGGGCTCATCACTAGAGCAAGCAGAGAGTCTAGGTCATCATCCCCTAATAGAGATCTGTGGGAAGGCAGAGAAGCCAGAGGCTACCCTGAGGTGCCAGGAGCATGGGCTGGCAAATGAGAAAGGGACCTGGGCATTTAGCTCTTGGCTCTGGCAATTTTCACTTGGAAACATCCCCTGACAGTGGAGATGACCAGGTATAACTCCTAGTTTCACTCACTGCCCTTCATACTGGGCCCTCAAGACTAGTCGGAACCTTTTCCTTGGTTTACATGAAAAGTTGAGTTTGTATGTTTGCTGAGGATGCCTCTGAGTGGTGATGGAGGTAGTTGGCCAACTGCAAAGCCAGATCCATCCTCAGTGGGCTCTTATTCAGCTGCTGTTTTAGAACAAACCTCACAGCATACACCTAAAGGGCTGGGGCTTTAAAACCCCTTCCTCAGTTCATTGGCATCCTTAGGAACTTATACAGGAAAATGGAAAATATGCTCATCTGTTCCTGCCAGTTCAGTAATCACCTTGTCTTTGCTTTCTGCTGCATGGAGTAGAACCCAGCTGTTTGGGCCCTACCCCAGGTAAGACTGTAGTGTGGTAAGTCTTCTGTCTCCAGATCCATCACAGGCTCCATGGGCTCTGGGACCTCACTTTTGTGCCCAAAGAAGGCTCATAAATTGTATACTGTGTTTGTTTCCCCCCACCCTCCAACTAATAGCCTACTGGAGAAGGTTGAACAGGAAACATGGCGTGAAACCGGCATTTCCTTTGTGACCTCAGTCACCCGCCTCATGGAACGCCTTCTTGACTACAGGTATCTTCTCAGGCACCTACCTATCTGACCTCTTGTCTGATCAGGATACTTGCCTCAGCAAGGACATCCTCTGACCTTAAAATTGAAACCATGTGGCCTTCAGGGGGAGGACTCTTCTGGTTTGGGTGCCATCATCAGTCATTGGGAATCTACTGATGGCCAAAGAGAGGGAAAGAGTCCTCTCCCAGGGGTAGGCCAGGGCTTCCTAGGATACCCCCTGATATGTGAGCACATATATCCAGGAGGCACCCCAGGGACATGCAGGTTTCCATCCAGAAAGGTCACAGCTCAGAGCAATGCAGCGAACAACTGTAGGTCCTTTGTGCTGTGTTCCTGAGAGCCATATGACAGATGGGCGGGGAAATATCACCCGGTACAGAAGTGTGACACAGCAGGACTTCCAGTTGGTTTTTCCAGGCACTGGGGATCCTACTTTTCCATACCTCCATTCTTTGCCTAAAGTGTTTTTTTCTGTCCCTTGGTCCTGACCATGAACAGATTAGAGGAAGCAGCCTGTGAGCTCAGAGATCTTTATGCTATGTTCAGTTTGAGAGTTCATGTAAAATTAGTTTTTTCATGAAATCTTGCTTTCTGTCATATCACGGCTTTTGAATTACTCCAGATGGGGCAATGAAGCCACCATTGCAGGCTTCATTATTCTCTTAGCAGAGTTCATGTGGTGGCTAAGGGTACCTTTTAGGAGCCTAGAGGGAGGTGATAGGGAATGAGGAAGAATGACGGAGGAAATCCATCCCCAAGCAATAGTTGTCTCCTCTGTGCTACAAGACATGTAAACGCCAAGGGAGAGCACTTCCAACCCATGCATCAGGAAATGAGGGGGTTTAGGCCACCTCCAGTTGCTGCTGAATAGAAGGTACTCCTATGGCAAGACTTCTGCTTTGCAGAAGACTCAGGTGTCCAGTGTACTATCTGGACATGGAAATGGAATTCCTGAGAAATGGGTTCCCATCTTAGGCATCCCCTCTTCCTGTAGCACAGTTGTGCTTGTGCAAGTTTCAGCCCATTTTTCCTGGACCTTAAAAGTTGACAAGTGGCCTTTTGGGGATGCCTTTTAGAACAGTGGACTCCTTTGTTCATGCCATATCCCTAGCCTTTTCTGTACCTGCTATCAGACAGGGAAGAGGGATGCACAAAACTCTATACCTCCCCCTCCCTAAAACATTTACTAAAGGTTAAGCTCTATTCACTATGGCCTACCAGAAAGAGCCTAAATTAATTTCTTAGCCTAGTTCTAGCTTCCTGTTTGATTTTTGTATCTACCTTGTACAAACAACTCAAACTCATGGCCAAACCCAATTTCATTCTCTTCCATTTCTTGTCTCAATAATGGGTTCATTAAAAAACAAAATTCATGCTCTTTCACATGGCAGCAAAGCCCCTTCATAAACTGGCCTTTGCCTACTCCTCCAGCCCTGTTCCTTGACAGTCCCAGCACCCATGTGCACATACTAACCTCCTAGTGTTGCTCCCTGTTAACACAAAAGGAAACACCACAATGTTTATCATGGCTCTTAACTGTTAAAAATACACTATGTGCTTTGTGCTTGACAAGCATTATCTCTAATCCCATAAGGAGCTGTGAAGGGTTATCCCTGTTTTTATCAGTGAAGAAACACCAGTGATAGGAAATGCCATTGCTGGGATTTGAACCCACATCTGACTCAAGAGCCATGCCCTATTCTTTCATCCATATTGTGACCACTCACATCCCTTCTCTTCAGGCTTCTCTACATGCAATGTCCTCCCAAGAGTGGCCTTCCTACCAAGCCCCATCAAGGAAGTTTTGCCAGATAAAAGCTTACCTGGATCTGTATACACTTCTTTCAAAGCATCAGTCACCTTGCATGATGATCATTTGTCACCTTTCTGACTCATTCAATTGAAGAGAGAAGCCTCTTGAGGACAGGGACCTTGTCCTTATCTCCCTGGTCCCCTGCATGGAGCCTTGATGGTCCTCTGACAAGTGTACAGTATATATTGACCAATTGGAAGACCGTGCAGGAACCAAAGTAGTCTCTTTTGCCCCAGTGCAGTTTAGTGCAATAAGAACCTACTAAGAAAATAGTTGACAGATACATATACATTGATTAGGCAAATAATTAATAGGTTATACTCCAGAATGATCTGAACCTAGAGTGTGAGACTCTGTTTTAGACTAGCATGAACCTTAAGTACTCAGAGGAGTACCTCTTCAACTTTTGTGTGAATGATACTCTGTGTCAGATATAAAGATGCTCACTGGTGGCAACTGTATTTCTCAGGTTAGGAAGCAGATCTCCGTGGGGTAGGGGGAGTGGTTCTTAGTGCCCTGGAACATACAGGGACAGGGCTAGGGTTGCCAAGTCCTTGGGACTTTAAGTGGAACCTCCACCTGGAAGAGGAACTGGAGGTTATGGAGCCTTCCTTTCTCAGGCCTCTCCAGTTGCACTAAGGGCTGCCTGGGCCCTGGTCTAGGTCACCACAAGCCCAGTGCTCACAACCGGTTGCTTCAGAAGCCTCTTTAGGAGGGTCTTCCCTGTTCGTCCTCCAGAGAAAGAACAGGGGAGAGCAATGGCTGCACCCAAGTCAGAGGCTTTAAAAGGTGTCCTCTATGTTGAGTAGCCACACAGAAGTGATGCACAGCCACACAGAAGAGAAGAGGCAGCTGTTAGCAGTGCATGGGAGAGGTAGTCATAGAGCACAAAGGTGTAGGGAATGGCCCTGCCATCACAGGGTTGAGGACAATACTTTCCTGTTTAATTGACTTGGCAATGAAGTTCTAGTTATAGCCAAAAAGAAGGTGATGCCTGGTAAGTGTTTCAGATGCTTTCTAGAAAAAACAAAACAAACAAAAACAAAAAACAAAAAAAACCACTAAATGCCAAAGTAGCTAGTTGAGACCTCACTACTCTCTATCGGCCAACTTATTGGAGAGACAGATGCTTCCTGCCACTTTCTATGTTGCTTGTAACTAACTAGTTGGCCATCTGGTCCACCTCTTAAAAAGTCACAGCACTTTCCTGTCCCTACTAGCACTAAAAGGTTCTGCAGTAGCCTGTTAAGGACCCCCATGTCTGACTACAGAGGAACCAAATGCCATATGGCAGTTAGGGAACCAAAAAAGGAGGACGACCTTGGTTTCAAATCCCACAGAGCTGCCACTTCTGATAGTAGCCCTCCATAGAAGGGAGGACACTTGGCTTTGCAAAATATCATGAGAGTTGTGTGGATTTTTCAGTATTCCTTTCTTTCAAAGAAGTTATCCCTTTGTGAGCTGGATTGCAGCTGGGAAGGCGGGGATAACTAACTTTGTCACATTATCACCCAGAGGTTCAGTGACTTGGACTAAGGCTCCTGACTCCCAACTGTGATGTTTCTCACTGGGCCCCATGCCTGTTAGTAGAGCAAAGTCAAGATACTCTCTCCACCTGATCTTAGTTGTCCATAAACCCACTTATGCTGCCTTTCCCTAACACACAGCTACACAAGGAACTATATCTATATGCCAGAGCACTGTAGAGTGCCATAGAAGGAGACACAGCAAACAGATGGAACCCTGGCTGGCTGTGTGTAGAGGAGGGTTCTGGCGAGATTCACCATTCTGGTTCTCCTTCTCCTTTGTCTCCTTGTGCCAAGACTCTGCTACTTGCAGAGGAGCTTGGTTTTGACCAGTCCTCCCCTATCCCTAGGGAAGGATCCATTCTCAGTGTTCCTGTTGTTCTGTGTCTCACAGACCAGCCTTGACCCCTCTTACACCCAACCCTGCTCTGATCAGCATGAATGTAACTCAGCCCTGGGTGAAGCTACCCCTAAATCAGAAAGAAACTTTAAACCTGCTGCTTCTACTTAGTACACAGGAAGGAAACCATAGGGAGAAAAGCCAGTAAGATGGTTAACATGGTGGCCATGCCACGGTTGCTGTAACCACAGGGTCTTGAAGCTAGGTCTCTGGAGTGGAGCATATTGGCTTCTGTTGAATGCTGTCCTACAAAATGAAACTTTCCCTGTAAGAAAAGCTCTGTGCCTCTCCTTCTGGGGACTTGAGGATTTGACATTTATCTTTACTGATACATTCTTCTGTGCTGAGGATATTGGTACTACCCTAATGTACCATCTGGGCTCTACACTCTGCCACCAGAATGAGAGGTTCAGTTGAACAGAGATCTCTGAACCCTAGGAGTGGGTCCAAACCTCAGAGGGAGCTCACTGTATAGCCCCCACCTGTGGAAGCGTTTTCTGTTGGAGAGCATCTTAATTTAGGGTTTAGTTATACTAATGCCTCTGTGACACTGCAGTTCTATGCATTGTTCCAGAGCCACCACTTCATGCCATGGGACATTCATCTGTGCTCTCCTTTCCAGGGACTGCATGAAAGGAGAGGAAACAGAGAATAAGAAGATTGGCTGCACTGTTAACCTGATGGTGAGAAGACATGGGCCCCTCCTCCTATCTGCCCAGCAGAATAGCTTCTGGCCTGCACTGTGACAGTCTTGGCCCTTCTACTGTGGCTGCAAGCCTAAAGACTTGAGTCAGGATATCAGCTCTGTCCCTAATATCTCAGAGACCTGCACCTCATCAGTCACATTTTCACTTGAGAAAAGAATGTTCTCCTTGGACAGAACTCTATCCTTGGCCTCTTAACAAGGTCCAGTCAACCATGAAATACCCTAATTCCCAGTCTGCCTTGGCACTCCTCCTCTTTCTCAATATTTGGATTCCCGCAGATCTGCCATTCGTTCCACCATACCTGGGGAGCAGTTGTGCCTTCTGGCTGATCCTTTCTCTTGCTGGTGCTGTCTGTGTCCATGGCCTGCCCTCCTCCTGTCCAGTACATCCAGGGCTTTGGCCAGCTGCCTGGAGCTCAGGTATGGCCTCCACAGGTGGAAACCTCTCTCATCTTTATGCGTATTTCCTTTTCTCTCTCACAGAACTTTTACAAATCTGAGATTAACAAAGAAGAGATGTATATCCGCTATATCCATAAGCTTTGTGACATGCATTTGCAGGCTGAAAACTACACAGGTGAGTAGAAGGGGGACCCAACCATGTCTCCCTGTGAGGAAAGACTGGACAGGTGTGCACAGCTAGCAGAGAAAGGCTCTGAACTGGTGCCTGCCAGATCTTAGCGGAGTGTTGGGGCCTATGTTGCCCCCTCACTTCATTCTTTCCTTCAAATCCTTTGTCACATATGGCAGAAAGAAAGCAGGCATAAATTCCACTTGTGCCTTCATGCCATGTCCTCTGCTGTCTGAGGCTGTTCTGCTCTCTCCTTGCCTCCTGTCCATCCCCTCTGAGGCCTCAAGGGTAACCTCCAAATTCTCATGCACTAGGTTCAGAGCATCCTGAGCTCACTGTCCCTCTCTAAGAGCAGAGCCTTCTTGACCTTGAAAACCTTCACAGCCAGAGCTACATGAGGCCATAACACTGAAATATCTGCCTAACTTCTGAACTTGCTAGCAGAACTGCTTTGCAGTCTAGGCTCTTCCCTGCAAAATGCACAGCAGCCCCACTTTGATTTTCCAATAGAAAGTATTGAGAGTGTTCATCTGGCTTTCTGACGGACCATATGTCCCCTTTCTACAATTTATTACTAAGGCCCTTTCTAATAGAACAAATTTAAAAGCATTTCAGCCTGCCTGTCACACTGTTTACTGAGTACCACTCAGTCAAGAGGGTATGTGCATGCATGTGTCTCCTGCCTGATCACCTGGTGCCATAGCTTCCCCAAAATAGCCACCTTCTTCACTGTGGTGACTAGCCACTACATCCTAGCTCTTGAGCCATAGGACTTGAATTTGTGTGACAAACCATGAAATTCAAGCTATTCTTATCCACAAACATTACTAGAATTAGATGGGTTTGTAGAAACACAGAACCCTCCTCCCTTATTTCTAGATGTAAGGGATTGTTTGGCATAGATGCCACCTTTTCTGACCACATAAGTTAACAAGAATTAAATCTGAAATGACTGGACTGAATCTGCCGTTCTGTCTACTTCCACCCATGATTGCAGCAAGCCTCTGAGAAGACAATAGACTTTGATAAATTCCATATAATATAGAGGCATTTACTAAATTCCTAGAGGTCTGGGCCATGACTGAGAGGTGGGGTCAGGGATTTGGACAGAGAGAGAGGGTGCTAAGCCTTGTCTCTGGCGGCCTCAGGAATAACATCTGAAAAGTATATGATCAGAAAAGAAAAAAATTTCACCTGGTTTCCTAAATTCCAAAGGGAGCCCTTGAGTGCCTCAGGAGCTTGTTCCCCAGAAATAAAAGACTTCCCATCTGGATCCAGTAAGGAGGCATGTGCATCCCTGGGCAGGAAGGTCCAGTGACCAGAGCACAGGCAGAGAGGCAAGGATGAGGAAGAGCCTGGGGAGTGGCTGCCGGCAGGTGTGTTTGGCTAAAACTGGAAGTGGGTCACGGAATAGTTAGAAATGAGATTCTTCACAGTTATTGGTAGTGGACTTGAGTAGGGCCTTGAAGGCCAGACAGAAGCTAGAGCTAATTACCTTGCCACTAGGAGATACCCACCAAAAATGACCAAATAGAACAGGAAAGAGCAGACTGTATAATGAGGACCCTGATCAGTGGCTGTAATTAAGTGTGACTCATGCCTTAGAATTTAGGGCCACAGTATTTAGTTGTTCTTGTTTTATATAACTTTCTTGAACAGTTCCACATGTAGGGTAAAGTATCACTGGGCCTCTGCCCTGAGTTCAGCATCAACTTTGAGCTCCTCCAGGAATGGAGCTTCTGGCTACAGGCCCATCACACACTTACCACCATTTACACGTCTCTCTGGTCCTTGTAGAAACAGTAGAGATGAAGGCCATGCTGAGGTCAGAAAATGTTGCTGTAGGCACTGGGGCTGGCTTAGGGAGGGCTGAGAGAAGACTTGATCAGTGCCCTCCTGCAAGAGCCAGTTCTGAGAAGGTTGGAAAGGAAGCTGTAATACATTGACTAAAAAGGAACCCAAGAATTGACTCTGACATGTCTGTGTCTCCCAAAGCAAGGTAACTTGTGCACAAATTCTCAGGTAGCTGGGTCATATTTCATCTGGAGCCCAGTATCGATAATTAGGCTATGAGAGGAAGTTGTCTACCAGGATCTTTGACTCCTTAATGCTATGGGCAAAGGTTATTGGCTGGCTGGGCAGCCCCTCTATGTAACCTTTGGTATCCAGTTTCCCTGACCTGGGCTGCACATGCCCTATCCTAGCAGAGTACTTGGGCTAGTCCCCTGGCACCAGACTCCCCCTGGACCCCTGAGGAGAAGTCTCTGGATCTCCATATTGCCTGTTCCCCACAGAGGCCGCATTCACTCTGCTCCTCTACTGTGAGCTGCTGCAGTGGGAAGAACGGCCACTTCGGGAATTCCTCCACTACCCATCCCAGACAGAGTGGCAGCGGAAAGAGGGACTGTGCCGCAAGATCATCCACTACTTCAACAAAGGCAAGGTAGGTGTCATTAGGCAAGCTGTTCAGCTCTTTGGGTTCTACAATAATGCATGCCATCGAGGCACGCTGCAGAGGGTGGTGTGGGGGCGATAAGTGGGTGGATGTCCATGTATGTGCATCAGCTTTGGAGGCAGCATGATTTTCTCTGGGGAAAAAATATATATAACAGTTTAATTCTGTGGTTTGGAAACCAATTCCAGATTGAGGGTATGAGACAGCCCCACAGAGCACCCTTGCACATCTATAAATGCCAGTGCTCCTATAGCAGGGGCTTCTGCCCCTCCCCTTACATTTATTAGATTACATAGAGAATTAATGTTGATTTTCTAATCTGCCATAGAACATATGAGCTATAAAAATGAACGGATTTTAACCTTAGTCAAAGGAGGCCTGTCCTGCCTCTTACTGGTACATGTACTTATCTTGGATTTCCCTTCATCACAGCACAGACTAGACTTCTCTCATTGGGATTCTTCCCATCAGGCTTGAATCTGTAGGATTGGCAGGCAGTGTCAGCATTGGTTTAGGCCTCCTTGGTGCTTCCCAGCCATCCTGCTCCTATCTCTCAGCGGGCTCCTTATGGGGCTCTCTGACCACCTACAGTTGGTTGTGGCCCATACACTGAAAAGGCTGGGGTTGTGTGACTTGTTGATGCTGTTTGCTCATTATTCAGCTTTGATCATTCCTTTAAAAACCTGAATTTGGGGTGCCTGGGTGGCTCAGTTGGTTAAGCATCTGACTTCGGTTCAGGTCATGATCTCACAGTTCATGGGTTCATGTCCCACATCAGGCTCTGTACTGACAGCTAGGAGCCTGGAGCCTGGTTTAGATTCTGTCTCCCTCTCTCTCTGCCCCTCCCCTGCTCGCACTCTGTCTCTCTCTGTCTCTCAAAAATGAATAAGCATTAAATAATTTTTTTAAAGGCTGAATTTAAGGGGCGCCTGGGTGGTTCAGTTGGTTAAGCGTCCAACTTCAGTTTAGGTCATGATCTCACAGTTCGTGAGTTCAAGCCCCACATTGGGCTCTGTGCTGACAGCTCAGAGCCTGGAGCTTGCTTCGGATTCTGTGTCTCCCTCTCTCTCTGCCCCTTCCCCTCTCATGCTCTGTGTCTCTCTCTCTCCTTCTCATAAATAAACATTTAAAAAATTATTTTATTTTATTTTATTTTATTTTACTTTTTAATTTTATTTTTTATTTTTTAAAATTTACATCCAAATTAGTTATCATATAGCGAAACAATGATTTCAGGAGTAGATTCCTTAATGCCCCTTACCCATTTAGGAAATTGGATTTTTTTAATGTATTTATTCATCATAAAAAAGAAAGATTTAAACATTAATGGCTTTTGCCCATAAATCAGAAAACATTCATTAGTTTCATATAACATAGGGAACATCTTTGTCAAAACCATTCACCCATGCAGGAACCTTTCCAGAATCTCAGGAGCTCTTGTATAACCTAGCCTGGAAAAGGGGCCCATGCTCAGCATTCGGGCAGCCACGTGTGACTGATCCATAGTGCTAGCCCAAAGCCTCCTCTTGCTGCTGGTCCAGGGCTGGACTTAAAGCCCCACACCGCTATACTTTCAAGCCTGCCTTTCTGGCACCCAGCCCACCTGGAACTGTCATCTACCCACATCCCCAGCAAGCCCTGCCAGCTCAGGAGTGGCATGATCATGGTGTGAGTGTGCATAAGTGCTTTTAGTGTATTAGTTCTCTTTTCTTTCCGTGGGCACAGAGTACACAGTGGAGAGTTGTCTTGTTCTGACAGAGCCTACCAGTGGGACATGGGAACATTAATCGTTCCCCTCTTCACTAAACACTACAGTAGTGTTTAGAAAAGCAGGTTTAAAGCTTAGTATGGATGAAAGAATTAAATGCAAAACCTGCTTGAGTATCATAGATGAACAGATTTGGGGGAAGGACTGGAAGGCTCCGTAGGCCACCTTCTTGAGGATTTCGCACTCATTCTAGTAACCCTGTATTTTCTGTGAATTTCTGGAGTAGCAAGTTCTGTGCTGAGTGCAGAGCCCTTTCATAAGCTCATCCTCAAAGAGATATTTATCACATTCATTCTCTTGAGTTAATATAGAAGGTCCAACTTCTGTGTTTCTGTGCCTCAGTACCCCCGTAGAACCAGTGGATAGGGCTAACCAGCTCTTTAATTGAAGTTAATTATTATTAACTTCAAGTTAACCAGCTCTTAATTGAAGTTGTTGTTGTTGTTATTATTATTATTATTATTATTATTATTATTATTATTACTATTGGCTCCAGAAAAGCAAAACCAGGCTGCTGCAGAAAAGTGTTCCTGTAGGGTTCTTGGTGTCCAGAGAAAAGCTGCCTTGACAGCAGGAGGAGGGCAAAAAAGAAGACTCTAGGGATGGGCAGGTAAAGGGGTTATAGCCCTCAGCATTCCCAGCACACCCTGCCTCACATGCCAGGCCCTCTACTTTTCTTCCACACTCTCCCAGCCTCTCTGTTATATGCTTTATACAGATAACCTGACTTCCTTTGGTCCTGTGTTTATTTCCTGAGCACCCAGAAGGATTGAGTCAGAAGTTCAACTCATGGTCATACTCTAACCCTGGGCCATTCTCTTCAGTGATGAGAGCCTGGAGCCTGCTCCAAGCTGGACTGAGTTCCAGTCCACAGAGGGTCAGCACTCCCAGGCCAGATAAGGAGAAAGGAAAGAAGTAAAGTTGAAAAGAAGGAAGGAGAGGCTCAAAAATGAGAGTTGGTCCTCCATCGCAGGGCAGAGGGAGCAGACAGGAAGGAAAGCTAGCAGAGGGCTCTGACACCTGCTTATCTGGCATACAGACCGTTAAGACTAGAGCAGCCTTCTCTGTGGGGCTGGGCTTGGGCTCTCCTGACTGAGAGTTGCTATTGCCCACACTCCTCTGAAGAAATGATAAATCTGTTGCTTCTAATATGTTGTGTGTAAACAGAAGTACAAAGACCACCAGTCTGAGTCCTGGGCCTTTGCCTTCCTTTTCACTTTGATTAGAATGAGCCCTAAGTGAGTGTAACTTTTGGATCATCCCTGTCAAAGAGGCCACAAGGATGTGTAAAAGCACCCATCTTGCCAGAGCTGGTAGAAATAATTGGATTTCAGACATTGATAAGAAGTTTTGGAGCTGGATTTGCCTCCTGCCAGAAGGCAGGAAACCAAGAGAAAAAATTTAATCAGGGATGCACTGTACCAGCAACACATTCCTCACCTGTGATCAGAGGCAGCTCTCAAAGCCCCCAGACCCACCAGAGTTCCAGCACAATCCCTTAAGGCTGACAGAATGTCTTAAAAATCTTGGTCCTGGCTCACTCTAAAGATAATTGAGGGTGGGTGGGAGGAGGGCTTGGAGCAGGAGGGCAAATTACACAAATCAGGCAGAGATGCCAGCAAGGCAGATGAACATTAATCCCAGTAGGGAAGAAGACCTGCTTTACTGGGAGCTACAGGCTGCTAACTGGCTGAGTGCCATTAGCCCTACGTGGGGCCCTTATCACCTAAATGAGCAGTTCCCCATGGGGCGCTCTTGGCAAGCTGGCCACAGGTCTGTGCACAGCTCAGCTGCTTAGCTGGCCCCCATGGAGCTGCCTACCAGGCAGACCCTATTGAGGATCCTTGGCTAAAACCTGCCCAAGTAGCACTTGGAGCCGGAAGGGGGGCTGACATGTGCCCCTCAAAAAGGGTATAATATGGGAGTATAAAAGGTTTCCTAGCTCACTGGGGCAGAGGCATTGTATTGGCTCAGGGAGCCAGGGTCTATTTAAAAATTCCCTTTGGTTTGTTTCAATATTTTTAATTGGCCCTGTGGTTTCAATCCATGTGACATTAATTCTTTCAAAGGATAGAAATAATCTCTTTTTGAGAAACACAGTCCCTGATGACATAGCGTTGTCCTTCTCCTTGATGCTATTTCAAATGGTATTTTTTAAAAATATAGTTCTTACTATTAAAGCATTCATGTTGAAATATGACTAGGTGAAATTATACGATGTCTGAGATTTGCTTCAAAAACTCTGGGGGGCAGTTAAGTGGTTGGGGTATGAATGATACAAGACTGGCAATGAGTTGCCAATGACAACTAGTCATTGTTGAGGCTGGGTGATGAGTACCTAGAGGTTCATTCTTCTCTTTTTCTATATGCTTAAAATGTCCTATAATAAAAATTTTTTAATTAGCATTTAGAAGTTGGCAAGAAGAGCCTGGCTGAAATATCAAGTAAACCAGTGATTCCCAGTCTAACAAAAGAAAGCACTCTATTAAAAAGCAGGGGAAATGGGCAGTACTGGCCCTTAGTGAAGGCCCCTTAAGCCCTCCACAGGCACCTGTTATATGGGCCTATAACTATAACAGGGGCCACACCACAGAGACAGCCTGGGACCTCACTAGGCAAGGATCATCTGAAACCTTCTTTGATATTTGAATATTTCTATAAAGGAAGTTGTCAGGCCTACTACTAAGTCCTTGGGTAGCCACTTTCTGCTTGTTTTTTTTAACTGTTTCTGAGCTTCAGTGATCTTAATTCAAAACTCATTGTTTCTGGAGTTCCTGGGTGGCACAGTCGGTTAAGCATCTGACTTTGGCTCGGGTCATGATTTCATGGTTTGTGGGTTCGGGCCCCACATCGGGCTCTGTGCAGACAGCTCAGAGCCTAGAGCCTGCTTCAGATTCTGTGTCTCCCTCTCTGTCCCTCCCTCACTCACACTCTGTCTCTCTCTTTCCCAATAATAAATAAACATTTAAGAAAAAATTTAAGTCATTGTTTCTGCCCAGGTGTCCATTGACAGATGAATGGATAAAGAAGAGGTGGTATATATATATATATATATATATATATATATATATATACACACACAATGGAATATTAGCCATAAAAAAAGTGAAATCTTGCCATTTGCGACAACATGGACATAGTTAGAGAGTATTATGCTAAGCAAAATAAGTCAGAGAAAGACAAATATCATATGATCTCACTCATATGTGGAATTTAGAAAACAAAACAAACAGGCAAAGGGAAAAAGACAAACCAAGAAACAAACTCTTAACTATAGAGAACAAACGGGTGGTACCAGAGGGGAGGTGGGTGGGGAGATGGATGAAATAGGTGATGGGGATTAAGGAGTGCACTTGCTGTGATGAGCACTGGGTGTTATATGGAAGCATGGAATCACTATATTGTACACCAGAATCTAATATTACATTGTATGTTAACTAACTGGAATTTAAATAAAAGCAAAAGTCATTGCTTCCTTCATTAACTTACTAAATAAATCTTTATTATCTGCTCATGCCTGGCACTGGTCTAGGCTCTGAGGATAAAGTAAATAAACAGGATCCCTGCCTTCATGTAGTTTATCATCTATTGAGATTAATACAACAAAAAAGTAAATACCTTTAACGATAACTTGGGAGTACTGAAACAGACAATGGCTGGGGAAGTTCCTGTCCTTGATGAGGTGGTCAGGAAATGGCCTTTTGGAGATAGAGACATTTGAGGAGAAACCTCAAAGCGACAACCTTGAGCTAGAAAGCCAGAGTACTGTGTGTTGTGCTCCACAGACTCATCTTGAGCAGATGTTCTTTGTGACAGATGAGTTGCAGGGGGCCTTTGGTTGTGCCCTCTAATGTATTTGATGAGTCTGGGCCATTCTGAGGATGTCTGAGGTGCTGAAGCCTTGTTCCTATTTCCAACACAGAGCTGGGAGTTTGGAATCCCACTGTGCAGGGAGCTGGCATGTCAATACGAGAGCCTCTACGATTATCAGAGCCTCAGCTGGATTCGGGTGAGCTTTGTCTCTTCCCCCAACCCAACCCTGACTGGAGGTACTAGCATTGTCCTGGCATCCGTTTCTGAGTGAGCATTCACTGCAGGTCTAGCCCTTGCTTTAGTGCTGTGGATGTACAGGAGAAGCAGAGGCCAAGATTCCTACCCTTGAGATATTTGCAGTCTGACTGGGGAACTAAAACACACACCTGACAAATGATTATATGATCCAGACCCCAAGGGCCACTGGTGCTGGGGGAAGGGAGAAGCAGCATATGCAGGATAAGGGGGAGTTCACAGAGGAGATGGCAGCTCACCTTCACAAAGAAGCTTCACCTAAAATGATTTTGCTCAGGGATGCTTCATATGAAAACTTTATAAGATCTTTCCCTGCTTTGGCTTGTGGTCACTTTCAAGCACCTTGTTCTTATTCCCTTCTTTGATGCAAAATATTCAAAAATTAAGTGAAATGTCCCATGGACTTTGAAGGTCTCCACCAGATTTTCCTGGCTGCTGGTGCTGGATTCTGAGCCATAACAGCTACAAACTTCAATAGCAAAGAGAAGCCAGCAGTGTCAGCTTACCCTCCTCTTGCACCCTCTGCAGCATGGCCAGCTGTGCCACGTTCCCTGATCCAGATGGATATTTGGATCTTTATAATAGATGTAGTTCTCTAGAAGTAGCTTCTTGACTGGTCTTTGGAGGCCACTGCTCCTCAGCAAGCTGGCTTGATTTAGTGTGTTACAACTATATTCCCAGTCAAAATTCAGTGAGTTTTTCTGAATGTGAAGCCAGGTCAGCCAATACTAAGAAACTTACTGATGTTGGTAAAAATCATAGATATTGGTTCAACTTTCAAAGTTTAAAATCTCCTAAATTGGAACCAGTACCAGTGATGCTGGCAACTGAGACTTTCTCACTGTGATTATTAGCATCTTTAGTCCGATGATAGATGAGCAAGAGCAATGCAGTTAGACTGATGGAAAATGGTGCTGAGAATAGCTGTTAGCCACCAATTAACTAACATGAGCTAGAAGTCATTTGGTGTAATGAGTATCAGTCAAAAACAGAAATCCCTGGGCAAAAAAAATTTCATATTAAACCTGTGCCCCCTGAAAGTTCAGGAAGCCTGGATCTGTATCAGGTTGGGCCCACCCACTGGGTAGGACATTATGAGCACTGGGCTGCTGTCCCCACCCTACCATCAGAGGATGATGGAAGAGGAGGGTTTCCTCTTCCATTATGAGGCAACCTGGGGAGATGCTGACCATGGCTAGGGGCTCACTTCTCACACAGTCTTTCCAAAAGACAGTGTCTACTTGGACCTGGGAGAACTTGCTTTGCACACCAGTAGCAGTCAGGCCAACCTAAAGGCAGCTGCCTTTCTTGTTCACAGAAAATGGAGGCCAGCTACTATGACAACATCATGGAGCAGCAACGCCTGGAGCCTGAGTTCTTTCGAGTCGGCTTCTATGGCAGGAAGTTTCCTTTCTTCCTTCGGGTGAGTCCATTCAGGTAGTCACAAGAACTTATATTTTACACAGTAATTCATTTATAACCTGTTTTTTATCTTTTCCCCTGTTCTACTGAATACTACTTTTTGAAGGACTAACTAGTCAACAAAAAGCTTTTGGCTTTACTTGATTGGACTGGCTCCCAACTTTAGATTTTGTTTTACTCTGCTGTACTATTTTGTAGCTACCTGGAATATACAAGGGTGACTTTCTTACCAAATCAACCAAATTCCTGCAGGAAATGACCAGGGTCTGAGAATGACCCATAGGTATGTCTAGAAGCCTTCCAATTTATAGTTCCAATGCCTGTAATCCTCCATTGTGACTATTTTTAGCCAAATAGACACCAGTACAACCCTGACCTAAACAGGATGCTGGCCTGTTGGGCTTTGTCATTTAAGATGATGGCTCTACACCAGGCTGCACTGTATGCTCTGTAGCCAGGATTGAGAACCTGTTGATTTCAGAGAAGCTTGTGAGCTGTCAAATGGGATCTGGCTATGGAAAGCCTTTTATTGGCAGCCAGTTCTCTATCCCCAGATAGTGAAAGCCATTTCTCCCACCTGGAAGGCTGAGGTGGGATACCAACAGAGAAGGAATGACTGACTATAGACATACTGACACCAGCTGAACAGTTGTGATTCTCTTCTTTATTCCACATAAGCCAGAGGCTCTAGGAAAAGTCAGTCTGGGCTTGTAGGCTGCAGCCCATAGGGATTCATCATTCTCAGGGGACCTAAAAGAAGCTGTGCTGATGAAGGGGCCTTGGGCTGAAGTTGGGACCTAACACTAGCTCTGACTGTCCCCAGTCCCAATATCTTACTAATGTCCCATGTTTACAAGTCTCAACCAGCAGCTGGGAAAGTTCATAGAATCCCTTTGATATGTTTGGGATCCTGTCTAATTGGAAAAATTCCTTTCATCAGTGAGCAATGATGAGCTTGGTATCACATCACAGGTCAGTTGGGCTTAGTGGCTCCTTTAAAAAAAAAAAAGCCAGGGGCGCCTGGGTGGCTTGGTCGGTTAAGTGTCCGACTTCGGCTCAGGTCATGATCTCACTGTCCGTGAGTTCGAGCCCCGCGTTGGGCTCTGTGCTGACCGCTCAGAGCCTGCAGCCTGTTTCAGATTCTGTGTCTCCCTCTCTCTCTGCCCCTTCCCTGTTCATGCTCTGTCTCAAAAATAAATAAACGTTAAAAAAATTTTTTTTAATAAAAAAATTTTAAAAAAAGCCAGTCTGCTAGCAAGAGTCCAGGCTAACCACATTTTAGGTGGTAAGGCAGATCAACTTTCACATTTCCTAGGCAGTAATCATTCTAGGTGAAAAAGAAAATTGACTTCTGCAGAACTAGTAACACTGACAGGGCTAGCAAGTACACTGCACCTAATTGTGACCTGCAGGAAGGCTCCAATTCCAGTCCACAGGAATGTTTCTAGCAGCAGAATATGAATGAGGAGAGGGTCTCCTCAGGAGGACCAGACTTGACTTGTTCACTCTCTAGGGACCTTCCACTTCAGGCATCTCAGAAGTGGCATATTTGCTGCCCCCACCAGCAGAGATTATACAAAAGCAATGGAAGTAGAGGTCAGCAGAAGAGAAAGAAGGAATTACACAAGAATAAGAAACCAAAAGCATCTCTATAAAGTCCTTAGACAAACTAATGATTCTGGCCTTGTAACTTCTTTCTCATTTTGTCTTTGCAAAGTACGCTTTATTACTATTTTATTCTCCTTGTTTAGTCCCACAATTTGTATATCATAAACCAGATTGTACTCTAAAACATCATTATTTTGGATACTACAAAATCAGGCCCTTGGTATCCTCATTTCTTTCCCCTTCAAACAGGAGTTCGCCATCGTGGTTTGCCCTGGCTTACACCACTCATGCTTATGTCACAGGGTATATCAGTGTCTCAGGGTACTCAGAGCTTTCTGACAAGTAAGACCTGGCATAGAACCTGCATCTGAGCCATCCAAATAATGCTTGCAGGCGACAGTCTGAATGTTCAAATGTGGTTTCAGCAGTGCCAGTAAGGGAGGAAGAATAACAATCGGTGTTAGGAAATGTCACCCATCAGTCCATCTCTGTCTCCACACAAGGGGCATTCCCTAGGAGCTGTGTTTCCTGCATGCAGATCCGCCTGGCCTAGCCACATGCTGCCTTCCCTTCCCTCCACTGCTCAGTTCATCTCTGGCAAATGTAGTAAGTCCCAGTAGAGATAGCTGTTTGCCTGGTAAATGGCAAGGACAAAGTACAAAGCAGCAGCAGCCGGATCTGTCTCATGTGAGGATGCTGGGCATCCTCAACTTGAAACTGACAACCAGCATCAAGGTCAACGCTATGTGCCTTCCTCCTGCTGGGCCTTCCCCAGAAGGCTAGGCTACTCCCTCACCTTCCTTGAATACATAGGCCATCTATTACTTTAGCTCTGTCAGCTTGGTTTCCCTGGACCATCTGCCTCTCTTGCTTTGCAAATGTGATTATCTACTAATCTGCACAGGGACAGGAAAACATCCAGCCTTCCCTTCTTGGGGGAATTTCTGTTTCTCTTTATTTGACCCAGGAACAGATACTGGTGAGGGTTGTACATTTCTGAGTTGATATGAAAAGACCAGTTATTTACAATTATCTTCTTTGTCAGTTCTGCTTATCAAGCAAGGGACTTAGAAATGTCTCTTGTCCTTTAACTATTGGTCTGTTCACTGGAGAGGCCAGCCTGCTCCTCCTGACCGTGACTTCCCTTCTGGTATTGTTTTTCCATTCTGATTCATCCAGACATGTGGCCCAGCCTTAGCTGAGTTCTCCCATAGTAAGAGGAGAGGTGAAAAGGGGGCAGAAATTCTGTTCCAAAAGGTGTGAAGTCCTCCAGGACCTGGCCTATAATCATCCCTGTACCAGTAACCATATGGCTGGCCCTGGGGAACTTCTCTCTCTTCCTCTGAAGACATGCCAGGAAGGGCTGCCAGTGCCTGATGCAACTTTGTCAAAGTGGATCTAGTGAGGTAGTTGGGCAGGCAGACATATATCACCAGAGGGCTGGAGAAGTGTTCCATTCACTCGTGACCAGCTGTGAGGTAAGCATAGCAGGGTTGAGGGGGCCCTGTTATTACTGCAGCCCACTAGAAGAAAAACTGAGACCTAACCCAAACCAAATATGGTATTAACAGGGTTTTAAGAAATGTGTAGTTAGGATGATGTCTATTTGTTCTGCTGACATAATTGCAAAGGAATTTACTGCCCATGTAGTAAATAATTACTGAATACCTACTAGACACTGAATAATGTTTGGACTGTTTGTTCCCACTAACCAAAGTGGCCCTTCAAAAGCATGCACTTGGTCACCCCCCTGTTAAGATTTATGTGGTGGCACCCCTGGAAATCATTCCTTGCAGGCATCTTCCTCACCCTCCCACCTCTCCACACACAACCTTTTCCTGTACAGGCTGTTGCTGCCCTTGTTGTCACTGTGCCCACATAGAGTACCCTTCCCCGCTCCTCCCTCAGAGCTGCCCAGGTGGGCCTTTCAGGACTCTTCTCAGGCATGGCCTTTTCTAAAATCCCACCCTTCACCTCTCACCCCTTCCTGGGTAGGGCGCCCTCCCTCCTTTGCTTCCTGCAACTTGTGCCCTGCCTCCCGGCTGCCACATCACAGTGCAAGTCTCCCTTTTTCTGTCCCTCTCCCTTCTGGATCATCATTTCCCTTTGGGCAGAGTCTGAGTACTATGCCCCATGCCTGTCACAGGGGCTCCTAGAACATGCTTGTGACGCAAGTAGCTATTGACACCCATGTGGAGGTGGGGGCTGTGGGCAAGGCATAGAGCATGCTCTCTTGTTTGTGGCAGAACAAAGAATACGTGTGCCGGGGCCATGACTACGAGAGGCTGGAGGCCTTCCAGCAGAGGATGCTCAGCGAGTTCCCACAGGCGGTCGCCATGCAGCACCCCAACCACCCTGATGATGCCATCCTGCAGTGTGATGCCCAGTGTATCTTTCTATGCTTGGCGAGGGAAGGCGGGCTGGGGTCCTGGGAGGTGAGGCCCACCCAGTCAGCTGCCCCTATGCTATGTTGTTGGTCCTACAGGCTAAGTTACCCATAAGTCCTGAACAGAATATGTCCTCATCACTGAACCCACACTTAGCAGGACCCTCATGCAGCCTTGTACAGAAGAAGCATGGCATGCCCTTAGCTGTGGGTGCCTGAAGCAGGGCTTCTGCAGGACCTTCATCCCTCAGGCTGGGCTGCTACCATCACCTAAGTCCCTACCTGGCCCTGTGAAGGACCTGCCTAGGCATCCAGAAGCAGGCACTGTACAGGGTAATTGGGGATCCCACCAGAACTCTTGCCACAGGGATAACTACCATTTCTATCCCCTGCTCCACTCCTGTGTGCATCTGTTATTATCCCTAGTCTTTGTCAGGAGGACTGAGGTGCAGCCCTGGGAGTGGGTATGGAGGGTATGGGGAAGGAGATGGAGAGTGCCTGTGTTTTTAGTGGTACTTGGAAGTGTGGATACAAATACTGGCCTCCCCCTCATCCCCCTCACACAGCTTCCTTGGAGACCTCATGACAGTCACCATGACTGTAAGCTTGTTCCAGGGAGGGAGAACAGGTGGACTCCCATGTTATCTCTCTACAAAGACCCCAAATAGTATTCTTATTAAAAGATTGTTCTGCAGTAAATACAGTTTACCTACATTGGGCAGGCTTAGGCCTTTGCAACTTTCTTGCTCCTGTGGTGTGGCCACCTGCGTTCTTCTGACCCCTTTCCCTTCTTTCTTGGCTGTTGACATCTCACCTTGGCTGAGTGCTCAGAAGGCTCAATGCTAGAGCGGGAAGAGGGTGCAGATAGGGAAATCTGGTCTAACTGTGCCTGAGTCTGCGCAAGGGTCCTGCTCCTTGCTGCTGCCAGGAGGGAACAGGGGCTATGGGGCTCTTTTCTCCTTTGGGTGATGACAGGGGTCAGTATTCAGATCCATCCCTTGGGCAAGTCTGGGTTTCCCCTTCACTTCCTGCCCAGACTTGCAGATCTATGCGGTGACGCCCATTCCAGATTATGTGGATGTCCTGCAAATGGATAGGGTCCCAGATCGCGTCAAGAGCTTCTACCGTGTCAACAATGTGAGGAAGTTCCGGTACGACAGGCCTTTTCACAAAGGCCCCAAGGACAAGGAGAATGAATTCAAGGTGAACAACAGTGGGAAAGTAGGGGCAGTGGGGCCAGGGGCAAGCCCCACTTTCTCAGGATCTTGTCCCTGTCTCATCCCTCAAGCAGGCAGGTGTGGAAGAAATTGCTTAATGGCCTGTCCCTGTCTGTGCCATCCTTACAGAGCCTGTGGATCGAGCGTACCACACTGACCCTCACCCACAGCTTGCCTGGCATCTCTCGGTGGTTCGAAGTGGAGAGGAGGGAACTGGTGAGACACGTTTTGGATGGAGCTGATCTTCACAGCTGCTCCCTCAGCCCTGGCTCTGGGGACCTTTCTCTAAGGACCAAAGACAGAAAGAGAGCTTTGGCCACCTGCCTGGCCTAGATTGCCACAGGCCAATCCTGTGTCAGAAGCTTTGTACATCTTCTCCCTTTTAATCCTGACAACACCAGGGGAGCAGATATTTTTAATCTCCCAATTTACAAATGTGGAAACTATTCTCTGAGGTTCGGGAAGTCAGAGCTCTCTGACTTCAAAACTGATGTTCTTCACTCTTTACTATACTTCTAAGTGCCTAAAAATCAGAAGAGAACATTTGAAAGGGGTCAGGGAGTCTTAAGTCCACAGGAACAAGGGTGAGAATCAGCATCACTGGCCTTAGATCCCTGTTCTCAGGATCATTATGAAGAAGGGGTTGTTATCATGCCTGGGACAACATTGTGTGCCCTGTGCCCTGTGCCCTCAGGTGGAGGTGAGCCCTCTGGAGAATGCCATCCAAGTGGTTGAGAACAAGAACCAGGAACTACGGGCCCTGATTAGCCAGTATCAACACAGACAGGCACATGGCAACATCAATCTGCTCAGCATGTGCCTGAATGGCGTCATTGATGCCGCTGTCAATGGAGGTGTCGCAAGATACCAAGAGGTGAGCTGGGCCCTGGACCAAACCCACAACAGGCAGCCTTGCTGAGAAGGTGGTTCTCAGGCTCCTCTCCTTGAGACCCCAGCCTTCTAGGGCAGCCTTCCCAGCTAGCCCTCCCTTAGCTGTGCCTCAGCCGACTGGAGGATGGTCCCGGGCATGAGGCTCACTACCACTCCTCGTTTCTGTGGCATGGCTCTCCTATGGGACCGTCTCTTCTTTTTTATTCTCTGAACTCTGACAGATGAGTAATCCATCTGATTAGGGAAGGATGTTAAATGGCCTCCAAGAGGAGCCCTGGAGCCCAGCCCTTTACAAGAAGCAAGTTGTGGGTATCTAAGAGACTGAGCCCTACACCCTGGCCACCAGCCCTACCTGCCCTACCCAGACCATCAAAGCTCTGTGAGGGACTGGGACCAGTACCCAGGCTTAGATTATTTGACCACCTTCAGTCCTTCTTAGATGCAAAAAAACATACCTCTGATTGCAGGAGGTCCAAGCAGGCCAGGCTGGAGATGGTGTGTATACCTGTGAGGAGTCAGGACCTTCCTTTCAAATGGTACCTTAGACTTACACTTCCTGGGTCCCCTCTAAGGGGTAGTCCTGGGAAGTCTTCCTGATTGAGCCTTTCCTTTCTCAGGCCTTCTTTGACAAAGATTATATTGCCAAGCACCCAGGAGATGCAGAGAAGATCACCCAGCTCAAGGAGCTCATGCAGGAGCAGGTATGACTTACAGGGCTTAGAGGCCAGTGGCCACGAGGGAAAAGCTATGCACCACAGGATGGCTGCAGTTGTCAAGGTCCACTCCCTGACTTGCAGAGTGGCCTTATCTGTCACCCTAATAGGTCCATGTCCTTGGAGTTGGGCTCGCAGTTCATGAGAAGTTTGTGCACCCAGAGATGCGCCCTCTGCATAAGAAGCTAATTGATCAGTTCCAGATGATGCGGGCCAGCCTCTACCATGTAAGCTGATCCCTGTCATGCCCCTGCTGCCGTAGAACCAGATGCCATTCCCTGCAGACTGTGCAACAAGCCAAAGGAAAGGGTGGGGGGAATGTGAAGGAAAAGCTGTCCCCACCACAGAGGGGCAAGAGGCAGAGGTGAGTGTTCTATCCAGAGGAAGGATGCCCAGGATCCCCTCACGCACTCCCCTCCCTGAGGAGGAGTCAGATTCAAGGGCAAAGAATGTTTTTCAAGGTACTGTGCTGGTGAAGAGAGGTTTTCACATGAGGAAGAAAAGAGCTAAATTATGTGATCCACATGTAGATATCTCTTTGGAGATATTTTTCATCCCAAGAACCTACAGAGGTAAGACATAGCTTGAGCCAGCCCTCTCTCCCCATCTCCCTCTTTTCCCTCTTTCCCTTGCCATCTTCATGCCCTCTTGTTCCAGAAGTTCTCCCGACTCTGACCTGGCTCTTGGGCTTCAACAGCAGGGTTGGCCCAAAGACGGATTCACACAAGCAAAAGCAGAGCCTGTATTCCAGGACTAGTTTCCCCTCAGCAGTCTCACAGGGAATGCTGGCTGGCAGAGAACAGGGCCCAGGTGGTCTTGAAACCCCTGTTTATGTGCCCTCACCCCATTTTCAACAATAATGCTGACTCCAGGTGTTTCGAGAGAAACCTATCTGCTAAATAGTCTGGGTGCCAGATCTCAAGAGGTGTGAACCTTATTATCTGCGACAAGGAAAATAGAGCTGTTTGGTGTTAGGCAAGGCCATCTCGGACAAGAGGCTCCTCTTCAGGGATAATCACTGGCCCTAGAGAGGCTGGACCACTCAGACTCAGTGGCCTAACCTGTTGGGGTTGACTTGCCTTGTTCTTGATGCTGGTGGCCCTCAGTGCATGTCTCAACCATTCCTGCCCAGTTGTAGATAGCATGGACTCCAAAAAGAGAAAAAGAAGCTTGTCTGTAGTTTGAGAAGTGGGCACATTTTTCAGAGGAAAGCCTATAGGGCCTGAAATTTCTCCTTTCTGTAATGATCTTCCCATGGTATTTCAGGGTGAAACATGCAGAGAAAGTGAAAGTCTTTTGTGTTTCTACCTTAAAATTAAAATATCCATTTAGTGAAGAATTTGGGTAGTGTCACTAAATCTAATGGGTATTCTGTTACCTCTCATTCTTGGTTAGTCTCTGCTATGTGCGAACTTTCTCATCACCACAAATGACCCAAGCAGGCTAGAGCCTGACCACTAGAACAGGAGATGTTCTCTGCCATGCAAAGCTGTTGGGTCACTTTAGCAAAGATCACAAAATACTCACCTGCATACATCAAGGTCTCCAGGACACATGGAGGTGTCCTCTCCAGTTTACCCTTCTTTTTCATTTCAGCGTGTTTTGGGAGAAGGGCATGGAAAACCTACTGCTTCTTTAGGCCAAGCTCAGAAATATCCCCAGTAGGACTTAGGGCCCACATCAGGATTCTACATCGTTTGTCCCCATAAACTGTGTCACAGGCAACTTAACCCAGGACACTGAGAGTTGGGCCATTTAGCAGTCCAGTAAACCCAACCCCAGTCCTTATGTAAACTGACTGGCAGCTGTTAATCAACTCCTCTTCTCCTGCTTCTCAGCTCTTAGTCCACTTATTCTATACCAAGAATGCCTCTTAACACACTCCTGTGAACTCAGAGCAACTTCAGCCTTTTCCAGATGTGTTCTCTTAGTAGGGTCAACCCAAGGCCTCTCAGCCTCTGGTCTAGACTCCAGTGCAGTCAGGAGAGTGTTTTAGTCATGAAGGGGCCATTGCCCAAAAGAAGTCAGCAATTCAGGTTCTGCCAAAAGTATCTGATTCTTTTTCTTTTTACATTCTTCTTTTACATTTTTACCACTAGCCAGCCCTTCCCTCTCACCCCTTAATTACTTACTCATTGTTTACTCTGATGAAGGGACATTCATTTCTCAACAGGAGTTTCCGGGTTTGGACAAGCTAAGTCCTGCATGTTCAGGCACCAGCACCCCACGGGGAAATGTCCTAGCATCCCATAGTCCCATGAGCCCTGAGAGCATCAAGATGACCCACCGGCACAGGTACGGCCTTAGAGCTGGGGAGGGTCCCCTCCATGGAGGTAAGTCCGGATGTCAAAGGTCAGAGCAAGAAATCCTGAAATAGTAGGTGTGTGTATTCACTCACATACCCTCTGACCCATGCATACATCAAACACACAGCTCCTGCCATAAGACCCATGGTCACATCCAGTCATCCTGGGAGAGAGAGAAGTGTACATGGTACTGTGAGAACATAGAGGAGGGGGCATTTGGGGTAGGTCTTGAAGGATAAGTAGAAGTTTGTGAGGCAGAAATGGGATGGGGTTAGGAGGGTGATAGAACAAGATCCAGGCAAAGAGACTAACGTATGCAGGCATCTCAAGATGTGAACAAGCCAGCCTGGTCAGCCCTACCAGCAGAGTCTTGTGGCTGGAGTGCAGGATTCCAGGGCATGGAAGAGGGCCAGTTCCAGCTCTAAATGGGCCATGTTCATTCAGGCCTTTGGACTTGATCCCAAGGAGAATGAGGATCACCAGTCAGTTTAAGGGAGAGAACGACATGATGATGTGGAAGCACATCAAGGTGTCCCTACTCTGAACTCAGGAGTCCTGGTCTGTCTGGACTCAACTGAAGATACTCCAAGCCTCCAGGGCAGGAAGGCCAGATAAGAGGAGGAGCCAGGGAGAGGAGCCCCTTACTTGGGTTTGTTTTCCAATGTAAGTAGTAAGTTAGCACCGAGTGGGCCTCTATAAATAAGAAGGAATGAATGAAAAGGACTGCCTACTATTGATAGAGGAGGGTATTGATGAGCCTGTGACCACAGATGTGGAAGGAAGTCAACAGATGGTTCCGAGCCAGCTATTTTGACAGCTTCCTCATACCAGGAAGATACCCCTGGCCTAGGAGCCTAGGAGCAAATCCCAGCAGGGGGTGGCTACTGGCTCAGAGTAACATTGCATAGGAAGGGGACCTGGAATCCTTGACCTGATTGAGCATATCACTTTCATCCCTCCTAACTGAAAAACTATTTATATAATCAGATGGAGTGGCCAAAAACCATTTAACTCCAAATAGAGACTTTGCCAGCCTACCATTGGCCCTGCCAGAACAGGGGCCCCTGAGCAGCAGGCAGGGATTCAGGACTGCCCCAGGCCTCAAATGGGTATAAGCATTAACTCTGAAACCCTCTAAACTAGTGTCATCTGAGGCTAGGGGTGACTGTTTCACACACACCCTTACACTGTCCCCCTACCACCTAGCAAGGTTTCTCAGCTCCCCGCCTGACTCCTCCCTATCTCCCACTCTTGTTCGCAGCCCCATGAACTTGATGGGCACAGGTCGCCATTCGTCATCCTCTCTCTCCTCACATGCATCTAGCGAAGCAGGAAACGTGGTGGTTCTGGGTGACAGCTCCATGGGCGAGGCTCCCGAGGATCTATACCACCATATGCAGGTACCAGAGCTGTCCAAGGAGTGTGGGCGAGAGCACCATACCTGGAGGACTCGCCTCTCTGCTGGCTGATTTGGTCTGAGGGCTCATACCCCTGCCTAGTTCTCTAGTTTCTGAAATCAGAATACCCAGAGCCAGTAAAACTGCCTTCCCTCCACTCCATCCCATGTCAATAAAGTTCCCAGGCATTACTTTCCAAGAAGGAAATCTAGCTTCAGTCATGATTGCTCTTAGAGATCCCATGGGAAAGATCCTCTGCCAAATTGCCTTCCTTCCTGGCATTTCTGATGGCTAAGTCCTGCATCCTATATGGGCACCACCATTAGAATCGACCCAACAGCCCTGCTCCATGGGTGGTGAGGGTGACCTGTAGTGCTAGCCACCATCCTGGCCCCCATCAGGACCCAGGGTACCTCATCAGACACTGGGTCTGGGCACCTCATGGCATGAAGAAGCCAACTCTGGGCCAGTCCTACAATCCTGGCCATTCAGACCTCTATCCTGCTGATTTTTCTCCCTTTGCAGCTCGCGTATCCCAACCCCAGGTACCAGGGCTCAATCACCAACGTCTCTGTTCTGTCCTCGTCCCAGGCAAGCCCTTCTTCCTCCAGCCTGAGTTCCACTCACTCAGCACCATCCCAGATGATTACCTCTGCCCCTTCCAGTGCCCGAGGTAAGGAGGGCATGGCGCTGCTTGCAGAAGGGAGGAGAGGGCCTCATGAGCCCCACTTGTCCTCCTCTCATCTGTGGCTCTGTCTTTGAAAGCGGCCCTGTGACTTAGAGAATGTTCCCCTTTTAGCACTAAGGACTCAAGGGTTCCCAGCTCAGCAGTCTCTCTGTCTGGCTTCAGACCCTGCCCTGAGTAGCGGTTATAGCTACGCTACCACAGAGGTGGCTGGCTGTCGCATCTCCACCTCAGTAAGAGGACATGTGGCCCAGGAGAAAGCTCAGTTCTTTTCCATTGAAACATTTGCAAGAATAAAAATCAAAGTTAAGGCAACAATGAGTCTTATCTTGAGGAACTGAGGATGAATGCACAGTATGAAAATTAAATTTGAAGGCTAAACTTAACCCTGGAAAATATTATTCTAAAAAAGAACAGCAACCAAAAAGACCTTGTCAGCTAAGAAAGGCGTAATCAGGAGAGATGGCTCTGTGAAAAGCTATTTACTTTGCCAGTTATTGCCTGATTTCTTATTCATTGGCTCAATATTGTTTTCTGAGCCAACATCTTTTTCACAATCTGATCCTAGTTCTCAGTGAAATTTGATTCTCCACCCTTTTAGACAGAAGCATTTGCAGTGGGATGGCAATCAGCTATAGTGACTAGGATCTAGTGCTTCTCAGGGTGGCTGTGCAGGATGGCAACAGAAAGGAGTGGTCTGAGCTCACCAGGCGGTCACTGGCTATTGCTTCCAGGCTTGCAGTCTCTCATGAGCTTGCAGTCAGATGTCACCTGAGGCTGGAATCATCTAAAGGTTCAGCTAGGCTGCATATCCAAGATGGCAGCTGGCAGCTCAGCTGGGACTGTCCACCAGAGTCGCTTTGGAGGGTCTTTACTTGTACCTCGGGCTTCTCACAGCATGCAGCTGATTTTTCTCAGAACAGGCATTCTAAGGTACCCAGGCAGAAGTTGCAAGGCTTCTTATTACCCAGCCTTGGAAACCCATAATGGTCCTTTTGCCACATTCTGTCAACTAGGCAAGTCACTAAGGCCAACCTAGAGACCAAGGTGGGGAATGAGACTGCACCTCATGATGTGAAGAGTGGCATGTGTGTTTTTGAAGGGAAGGCATTGGTGGTTGCCATCTCTGGAGACAAGCTATCACAGGGGCCAAACTCCAGGATAGCATATAGAGAAAGGCTGACAGAAGCCCCTTCCCTTTCTGGAGTAGACATTAAGTACAAAAGTAAACATTTCCAAAGCTGGGAATGGTGATGAGTGCAGAGGCAGCTAAGAAGGAGCAGGAATTCACTTCTAGGCTACACCATCCATGCAATCCATGTGCAGGCCTATCTGGAGAAAACCATAGGCCAGTATGTAGCATACCAGCAGTAGGCCCTGTGAGAGAAGATGGAGAGAGATCTGGAATCGCAGAGGAAGACTGCTTTTTCAGATAGATGTGGTAGATGCAGTAGGAGATGCACTGGGGGCATGGAGGGAAGGGAGAAGTCTGCTCTTTTTTCTGGTTGTTATGGGTAAAGGGAAGGCTTTTATGGAGAAGGTGTTCTGGAGAGTCCTTTGCATTGGAGTCCCCTCCCCCACACCCAAGAGTGGTCATGACACCAGTGGCCTTCCTCACCAAGCCCATTGACACTCTCTGCTGTGGTCCCTGTTGAAATCTTCCAGAAGGCCTGCAAGGCACAGTCTATACTCCTATAAGTAGGCAGCTCCCCCTAATGGTCAAAAGACTGAGTGGAACTAGGAAACCTGGAGATTCTGATTGATCCTCCTTGAATACCTCAGTCATGCTGAGACATAGCCTCCCTTGGGTTTACCAGACTACAACTCAAGCAATTCAAAAGTCCTGTGACACCAAAGCCCTTGTGGTATTTAAATGTTTTAATGAAAAGTAACCGTCATTCTCTGCTACCATGGGATTGGCTGCCCAGGGCTGAGGGCAGTGAGAGAAAAGTGAAGTGGCAGAATTGGAAAACTTGGCAGTAGCACAAAGCACCTCTCTGTTATAGCACAAGAGGGGCCTCCATCACATGGATTCAAATCCTCAGCACAGCATCTGGGGCCTGCAGGCTACTGTCCCTCCATCCTAGCACCCCTGACATGTATCAGCACATGGAGTATGCAGATGTGGGGTTGGCCTGGTGGGCCAGGCTGTGAGTTCTGTGAGGTCAGGGACCATGGCCAGCCTGAGTTAGGCAGTGTGCCATGTTCCAACCACGTGCCTGGTGTGGAATGGGTGTTAGATTGGAGTTTGATGTAACTGGATTGGTGTAAAGGTGCATGTCTCTTTCTGTGCACACTAAGTAAGTAAAAGGGTCCTGTCCAGAGCTGTGGCTGGCAGGGCTCAGGGAGCATTCAGTTTCTTGCTGGGAAGGCACTATAGAAATCATTGCAATTAAGAACTCTTTTCCATTTTTCTCTAAACAGCCATTACTGATTTTTATTATACGGACTTCTTCAAGATATTTAAGGCTCATCTTCTTGGTCTAAAATGAGTGCAAGAGGAATGTCGCAGCTTCCTGGGGAAGCTGACTGCAGAAACCTATTTTAGTTGTGCTCTGACAGTGCCTTCATGGCATAGTCAAAGGAAGGCCCCAGGGACCCTGGGTTTCAAGGACACAGAGCCTCCAGAGCTGCAGGTTCACTTCTCAGATGGAGCCCTTGGACTCTCTAGCTTCACTAACAGCACGCCACAGAGGGGTTTCAACCACTTGAGCCAGCCAGAGGCTGCCCATGGGCTAGTTTCTCATGGACATGCTGGTGTCTGGAACGAGTGGTGCACGTCTGGAGGGCCTTCCAAATGATCCATTCCCAAAGAAAGTCAGAAAGCTGTTCTCTCTATTTCTGTGGAAGGTACCCTCAAGAACCATAGGCTGACAGGTTCCTGAAGACCTATAGCTATGGCCTGCATTGATGGGGACTGGACCACCACATCTGCTGAGGTCTGGCCTCTGTAATAGCCCCTCAGGCCAGAGGATATCACCACAGAAGCCTCACAAAAAAAGAGCAGGAACCAAGTCAACTCAAGAGCCTGGCTTAAAGCCCCACAACTCCCAGACTAGCTCCCATATGACCCCCAAGTTCACTGAAGGGCAAGTCTCAGAGAGAGAAACTCTGGAGAGCCACCTGTGTGTAGGGCCCTGGGCCCCTAGCCAGCCTGGCTCTGGAGCTATGGTAGGACAGCAAGGAAAGCAGAGGCCAGGCTCTGGAGGCCTCGAATATGGGAAGGAGAAGCCTTTGGGCAAAGGTGGTTGGGGGTCAGCTGAGAACAGAGCCAGTTGGTATCTGGAAACGGTAAGTGTGGGGAGACACAATGCATCAAGTAAGAACCATGCCACTATGTTATCTCAGTGTCTCTGTCTCTGTGTGATGGCTCCATTGCAAGCTGGCCTGTGCCCATGCCTGGGCCCCCTGAAAGAGCCCAGCATCCAGGTCACCCCACATCCCAAGAGCGCTGGGTGCAGGGGGCCCTTTGGGGCCCAGCTCCTGTCCTCGGTTCTCATGATCTGCCTCCAAGCATCGTGAGGGGGCTCTATCAGTGGGCCTGCATTGCCCCAGTCTGCAGTATGCCCACCTCAGCTGGGATGTCAGGTGCGGCCCCACCACCATCTCACCAGCGGGCTCTGCTTCATTCCTCCTGTGCTTGCTGAGCTCATCCTCACCCCAGCTGCAAGGGGACACCTACCCTGGTTCCCTGGCCCCAAGGATGCTTGCCCGCTGGGCCTTCCATCTGTGGCTTGTCATCTGTGCGTGATTGTTCTCACTTGGTTACAGGCTCTCCCTCTCTGCCAGATAAGTACCGCCACGCCCGGGAAATGATGTTGCTGCTGCCCACACACCGGGACCGCCCGAGCAGTGCCATGTATCCAGCAGCCATCCTGGAGAACGGACAGGTAGTGGACCCAGACTGCCCTCTGCTGCAAGTATGGCGGCCTGGGCTGCCCTCATTGCATCTGCTAGGCTTTCTATATTGCCCTGTGTGCCTCCTTCATTCTGCCATAAGACCCTCAGAAGGCTGCTGGGTGCCCACTCTGGACAGGACTGCAGTGGCTCTGAGGATCAGCAATCCAGATGGAGTGGACCTGTAGGAAGAATGCTGGCGGGTTAGAGCCACAGTTGCTTGTGTGGCTGTCTTTCTTGCCAACCCATTGCTTGTACAGCTTCCTGGACTCCTTATCCATAAACAGTCTAGCAGAGGAACCTCATTCTTTCTTATCCTGAGAAGGCAGTGGTGGACATGGGTCTGGAGGATGGTCTTCCTCCCTGTGTGTGTGAAGGGCATCCTCACTGAGACAGACTCTGCCTCTTTCATCCATCCATCTATCTGAAGCCCCTCATTGCCTCTTGAGGCTACTCTCTCCACCATTTGCACAGCTCTCTGGATGTCCTACCTGGGGGCCTTGAACAAAGAGATGTGGGGATTAACTCCTTCCTGTGCCCAATCTGCCTGCCCTTCTATCAGAGTCCATGAAAATCACCTCCAAGAACTGTTACCTCAGCTGTACTTCCTTGTGCCTGATCAGCCCTGCCAGGTAGAGGGAGCAGGCCTGCTTGGCAGCTGCCCATCAGAACAGTGAGTCCTGTCCGTGACTTTCTAGGCTTGAGTGCTGCCCTTTGCCTTATCCACATTGCTAACTTGGGCTTGTGCAAGGATCTCCAGGAGGCCAAGCCTGCCAGTGCTGAGGGGTAGAGGGGTGCCTCAGTCCTTTCTGCCAATGGGTCTCCCTGTCAGGACAGAGGGATACAGTTAGATACCCTCAGGTGCCTATGTCCTTTTTCTTGGCCATGTACAAGACAGCTTGGAGCCCAGCCAGGCATTGTAGGGAGGTGCCTCCAATGTTGACATGGCAGCACTCAGAGCCAGATAGCGAGGGACAGTCTTCCTATGGCTGAGCATGATCGGTACCACTGCTTTGATTTCCCTGTCTTCTCTTAATATGATCTGGCTCCTGGGCCCATAGCTCTGCCTCCTGAGGTGTACCTGGTTGTTTTCACCATCTTTGATATTTTTCTCCCCCCTCAGCTGCCAAATTTCCAGCGGGCCCTGTTCCAGCAAGTGGTCGGATCCTGCAAACCCTGCAGTGATCCCAATCTGTCTGTGGCTGAAAAAGGTATTGTTCCCCTTTCCAGGTGGCCTTCCCCCATGTCTGTCCCCATCCTGAGTGTCTGACTCTTGTCCCTGAGCACCAACTGGCCAAGGCTGTGCCACACTCCAACACCCAGGCCTGTCTGTGTGTCCAGAGTCCTGACCAACTCCTGTGCTCACTGTTTAACCCATGTCCGGTTTGATGCTAAGTTTGGATCCTGTTAGTTTATGTATCTCTCTCCCAAGGGCCCACCTTCAGAGAGGCCCCAGCTGCTACCTGCCCTGAGCCCACCTTTATGGAAACTCAGGCTGCTGTGTTCAGACAGTTGGGCTTCTCCCAACCAGCTCCAGGATTCGGCAGGCCTGATGGCCCCTTTGGTCACTCTCAACTTGGGCCCTCAGGGACCTCTCCTTATTGCTCAGAATAGGCCTGTGGCTGAGCAAGCTCCTAGAAGAATGGGAAGGACAGACCATGGCAAAGTGAAATTCCCAGAGACAGTCCTCTCCAAGGAAGCCCTAGGTACTCTGAGTTGAGTCCTCCTGCAGCCACTCTGGCCAGCAAGTGGTCAGCTGCTATGAGTCTATCTTATTAGCAGGGATTGCAAGCCCATCAACTTGGGCATGAACCCGGGCAGTCCTTAGAACAGGGGATGTTTGGATAGTGGAGTTTTACCCTGTGTCCCACTGCAACAAGCTAATGGAAGAACCAGACTTGGACCCTACATGACCCTGGCCCAAAGCCTCACACATGGAGATCTGACTTAATTTTAACACAAAGCAATACCTATATGAGGATTATGCTAGACCACCTGCCACCCAGAACCTGGCCCCATATCAGCCCCTCTCCCTGTAGTTTCCCCTCCCTCTCCTTCATCTGGTGGAGCTTAGGGCAAATTCAGTCCCCAGGAATACAAGTTGCTGTTCCATCAGAACCTGTACCTCCAAAGCTGTCATCATGTTGTCATTGCACCTCCTCACCAAGTGCTGTCTACTGTCCCCACTGTCATTGTTCCTCCCTTGCTCACCACAGAGGACATGCCTCTGTGTCTTCTTTAAGGAGACCAGACACTGGGTCTACAACCTCAGTGGCTGGTAGGCATAGGTACCAGGTGCTCAACCACAAAGGATATGGAGATTCCCGCCGAAGATGACTTCCTAGCCTCAAGCCTGCACATCCCAAAAACATGCGGCTTACCTGGACCTTGCACCTATTCCCACAAAATAGAGTGCCATTTTGGCCTCAGGGGCCAAAATCCACAGTATCTTTTCTTCACCTGAGATGTGGGGCCATCTGAAAACTAGCCAAGATCACAGAAGAGCTCAGAGCTCAAGTGGGTGCTGGTGGCCAGACCAGGACCCTATGCCAACCGGACAAAGAAGAACACCAGGCCTCAGACCAGGCTGCAGCAAGAAGCTGGACATGCCCATCCCCAAGTGTGGGAAGGAAAGAGGCTGAGGCCACAGCAAGCATGTCCGTGCCACAGTGCCAGTGTTTTGTGGGCAGCAAATAAGACATTTGCCTAGTGGGAACACACAGGCCAGAGTAGTGGCTCCCTAAGTCTCTTCCTGGATCCTCCAGGGCAGAAGCTATACATACTTATCACCATTCTCTTGTCATCAGGATCCTGAGTCCCACAAGGACTCTGCTTCTCACTTGTCATCTCTCTTTGCCAGGCAGTGACTCTCAGGCCAGTGTTGGACCTCCGTTCACAGAGACAGAGCAAGAAATGGCCAGGCCACAGTAGGGATTGCCCCCTTCTCCCAGGATAAGTCACTCCATCTTAGACTTTCCACTAGCCCCAGTGCATTTGTATCACATGGCAGAGGTCCATGGGCCTCATTGCTCACCAACATCAGTCTATAGGGTGAACTAGATGGTTCTGGATCACTGGAGTGGCTCAGGCAGGCACCCTTTGAAAAGCCCTGGAGCCTGCCAGCTTTTTTGCCCCATAACCTCACTGCCCGCAAGTTCCTGTGGGTTCTTGTGGGTGAATATCTGTGGCCCTGCAGTGAGAGCTTGGGGAAGCTGCCCAGACCCACCTCCAAGCTTCTTAATTCCTGAAATTCGGGGGCGTGTTTTTTTTTTTTTTTTTTTTTTTTTTTTTTTTTTTTTTTTTTTAGAACTTTTCTCTTTGGAGAGAGCAAGTTTCAGTGATGAGGACCCAGAAGCTCATGCCCCATCTTGAGGAGAGTCTGTGTGAGAATGGGCCTATCTTGTTCTTCGGTTGCCTCAGGCTCTCCAAGGAGGCCTTCTGGTGGAATCCACCTGGTGCTCATCAGATTCGGAATTCTTTCCTCCCTTTAGGCAACAGCTGAGTGCCTGCCCACCCAATCACTGCCACGCCCTCCCACCAGCCACCTGCCATCAGCCATCCCATGAGACTGAGCAGTCCTTAGAACTGAGGCTGTTCAGGTAGTAGAGTTCTACCTTGTGTTCTACTGCAAGCCCTTGAGTTCCTCACTAATGGGAAGGAAGGAGAAGGGCATAACTATCTTATCCCTGGACCACATGGGCCCAGCCCCTCCTGGCCACATCCTCCTTGAAGGCTAGACCCCAGCTCCTTCCTTTCCAGAACCTCTCTATTCCTTTAGGCGCTAGCATTTCCCACTCAGTACCTGGCGCTGGAAGAGCACAAACCCCAGCCTCTTCGGGCACACTTGAGTTATAACTGCCTCAGAACAAAGCTAGGGGCTAGGTCTCTGAATTATGAGCTGCTTCCCTGCTGCTGATAGCCCAAAAGGGAGATTATGTTTGCCTAGCTCCATTAGAGAAAAGACACATTTCTTGTCAGTGGTATTTGGTCTCCAGGAGGAGTTGGCCAACAGTATTTATATGTCCCCTGCTGTTTCTGCAGAGTGGCACCTTCTAGCCCAAGATCCAGCCATTCTTCCTTTCCTCTCCTCTCCTGCAAAGTTGCTCACCTCAGCTGTGGCTGGGGGAGAGGTGTGAACGGACCAGTATTCTGGCGCTGGCCTCCTTCCTTGGCATAGATGGACACTCTGTTTCCCTTTGTCCAAGGCCCGCTCTACCCTGCATCCATAGCATGTGGATGCCAGGAACTGGGCCTCTCTGCAAGACTAAAAGCACCCTCATTCCCACAGCCCTCCCTTTTCTTGGGAAGCCACAGGTGGAACCAGACCTGAGCCACAACTCTTGGGCTGTATGCTCTTCCCTCCAGCAGGCACACCAGTCCTTGCCTGAAAACCCTTTGTGCATCCCAAATCCAGTCAGTAGGCAGAGAACCAGTAGGGTTGGAACAGCTTGTATGTTACCAGAGGCCTTTTGGAGGGCAACTCCTGCCCACACCCTGGCTGTGCACTAGCTCTAGGATGGGGCAGTCTGTGCCTCCCGCCCCCTGTGCTCCCTGCTTTTCCTGTTAGGCCAGGGCAGTTGGAGAGCCCTGACTTGGCTCTGGTGAGGAGCTCTGTGGCCTGCATTTTGTCTGCATTCTGTCCCATCAGCCCGTTCCACTCTGCTCTGCTCACTTCTGTTCTCTGTCCTCTTCTGACAAATCCCGGAGGCTGCAGATGTTCACTCCTTGCTGCACTGTCTCTCAGCTTGCCTCACCCTGAGTACTCTTCAGACGTCAGTCCACTCTGCTGCTATCCTCTTAAGCAGCTTCTGTCCTTGGTCACTCTCCCCCATGGGCCACAGTGTCTCACGTGGCCAGTGTTTTTGGGGGGCTGGCATGCCACTCACACATGTGCTGGCTACACAGTGCACACCTGGAGAAGCCATAGGCTGTAAGATGGGCTTCTCCCTGAGGATGGCTCAGAAGTAACCTCCCTTCATGCCATCTGTTTCCACCCTTCAGCAGTGCCAGCAGCCCCCAGCAGCTGGAGCCTGGATAGCGGAGCCCGAGAGGCCCAGCCCTTCCTGTCTGCCCACATGGGGCGCATCCTGGCCCCCCCAGTGCCTCCCCGAAGCCTGCTGCATGGTAAGAAGACCTCCAGCGGGTCCCCCAGATAGCCCCTGGTTTCAGACTCGACTCAGAGGCGAGGGTAGCAGCCCTCGAGACTAAGAAGATGGGCCGTTCTCTGGGCTGACTCAGCCAAGGAAGAAATATCCCCACCACAGGAAGAAGCCTGTTGGGCTTTGGGGTCGTGAGGTTTCCAAGTACAGCAGGTGAGCTCAGGAAGGCCTTCCCAACCAGGGGGGCTGAAGACAATGGAACAGACTGTGCTGGCCGGCTCCTCACCAGCCTGTCGGAGAGCTACAACTGCCTGTGGCCCACCGTTCCATGGGCTCGGCCGTACTTGACCTTCTTGACCTTCTGTGTGGCACATGTGCCTTTTACTCCAGCAGCCTGTTTTGGAGAACTTCAGTGAAAAAAGAGGTTTTTCTGTGACCTTCAATGCTGAGGGGTGCCCAGGAGACTCTTCCCACAGCTGTGCAGTTGGAAGATGTGCCAGCACACAGCCCAAGAAAGCCCCAGCTAAGGCTCTTGTTCTATTCCCTTTGCAGGTCATTACTCCCTACACTTTGACGCCTTCCACCACCCCCTGGGTGACACCCCCCCGGCCCTGCCTGCCCGGACTCTGCGCAAGGTAATGTATTGAAGCAACAACCCCACAAGAGTGTGAAAGGAATCTTCTTGTCTGCTCTGGAATCTCCTGGGTCTACAAAAAAGAACCACAGCCCTTCCGTGCTCCTCTGTCCCAGAGCAACCAGCCTGGCAGAAGCTGGGGGTGGCCAGAGCCACACTTGTGATGCAGATGACCCATGTGTCCTGCAATCAATGCAGTGGGGACAGGGAGGTCAGAGGGTCCTGGGGACAGCAACACACGAGTACCCTGAATGCGTCAGCAAGGGGCAGTGAGGGGCTTGGGGGCTCCCTGCTGACACCACTAGGTATCGATGCACTATAGTTCAAGAAGTGAAAAAACATTTCCATGGTAGATCAGAGAGCATTTTACACTAGAGGCCAGTCAGAAGCAAGAAACAGGAGGCAGCAAAGCCTTATGAAAACTCCTTTTCTGCATGTTGGAAAAGACAGACTCTGTCACAGATTTTAGCAACAGAATGCGTTCATCTGGCCCATGTCCCCTGGGGTTCTTCCTGCTCTCTGCACTGGCCTGCCCACCCAGCCCTTCTGTCAGCACCCCAGAGCCACATGGGATATAAATGCCTAGCAGCCAGGCCAGGGCCATTTTTGTCCACAGAAATGTAGCTGATTCTGGGGTTCCACTGGCTTGCTGGGAGGCAGCTGCTGAAGAAACAAATGTGTAGCCAATATGTGCGGGTACTTGGTCCTCTCTTCACCTAGTGGGCCAGCCCACCTGTCTGGAGAAAGGGATTCTAATATGCCCACCCTTTCCTTTGCAGTCTCCTCTCCACCCTATCCCAGCCTCCCCCACAAGCCCCCAGTCAGGTCTGGACGGCAGCAACTCTACACTGTCTGGCAGTGCCAGCAGCGGCGTGTCCTCCCTGAGCGAGAGTAACTTTGGGCACTCCTCAGAGGTCCCACCTCGAACTGACACCATGGACTCCATGCCGAGCCAGGCCTGGAATGCAGATGAAGATCTTGAGCCACCCTACCTCCCTGTCCACTACAGCCTCTCTGAGTCCGCCGTTCTGGACTCCATCAAGGCCCAGCCATGCCGAAGCCACTCAGCACCAGGGTGTGTCATCCCTCAGGACCCCATGGACCCACCTGCGCTGCCACCCAAGCCCTACCACACCCGCCTGCCAGCCCTGGAGCACGATGAAGGCGTGCTGCTACGTGAAGATGCTGACAGGCCTCGGGGCCTGCACCGCAAGGCCTCGCTGCCCCCAGGGAGCGCCAAGGAAGAGCAGGCCCGCATGGCCTGGGAACACGGCCGAGGGGAACAGTGAGGGGCAAGGAGGCGGCTGGGACGCCGCCCTCTGTGAGCAGCTTGCCCATCCACTCCAGGTCTGAAAAGCAAGTCCCCTCGCCAGGGAGCCAGAGAGGCCTGGCACTCAGGAGAGAACCACCCCGAGTCTACGTTCTACTGCCGTGAACTTGTGTGTTGCCATGTACAGAGGCCGCAGCAGCATGAAGGGTTGTGGCTTCTCTTTTTATTTCATTTTCTACGTTTCCATTCTATGGGTTTTCCTTTCTTTCCTTTGTGCAGTAGATGCTTTCTTCCTCCTGCAGTTCCAGACCACGTGGAGCTATATGGAGATATTGCACAGAGAGAATTGCTTTGCAGCTTTGCAGGGCCCAGGGGTAGGCGCTCCAGGCCCTCCCTCCAGGGCAGAGATGCACAGAAGAATGGAAATTGCACTAGGGACTTCTTCTGTTGCTGTGTGGACAGAAGAACTCATGGTTGTATTCAGGGATCGCAAGGACCACGTGGACTACATGTCACAGGTGGACAAGGGAGCTACAAGCCGTTTTGCACAAATGCCTACCCACCTGCCCACTCTTCCATCCAGGAGTGCGAGACTGAGGGGCTGCTTGAGCCAACCTGCCAGCTCAGGCATGTGACCTGGCCTAACTGCATGCCCAGGGCACACTGCCAAGCTTCCATGGGCCAGCCCTGTCTCTCACTCTACCTTGGATTTTTCCATCGCTTTTATTTGACCATTTGCTCCCTTACATTCTCCATACACCTCATGCCCTGCAGGAGCCCCCTTGATGAATGGATCTGCAAAGGTTATCTCCCACTCTCTGCCCCCTGGCGCTTGTGTGGGGGTGTGGAGCCAGAGGCCCTAGCAACCTTCTTCCCCATGGCCCAGGAGGCTAAGTGTTGAGAGACAAGCTGGTATAGAGCGAGGCTGGGGTGTGGCAGGGGCCAGAAATCCTCTTTCAGAAGTGGCCAGAATGCCTGTCATCCAGTTCCTGAATCAGGGATTTTCAGCACTACCTCTGAGCAGTGGGGCTGGCTGCCCAGCCAGGCTTCCAGCCCTGAGGACTCGTGGTAAGGTTCAGCAAGCTTCTAGGTAAAGAGGGTGGGAGGAAGCCCCTCCTTTGGAAGCAGAGAGCCACACAGGTTGAATTATCCTCTCTCAAGTGGCCAACTGTAGCTCACCGCCCCCCCACTCCCTCCAAGCCCACGGGGACCACCACTCAGGGTTCAGGGTGGGCAGGAGGGCAGTTTCTCCAGCCTTCCCAGTCTTTTGGGCAGAGCGCAATGGTATCTTTATAGGAAACTTTTTCAGGTCAGGGCACAGATTTTTCTCTTGGTTTATTATTTGGGGGTGGGGGGGATAAGGTGGGGTGGCAATAGTATTTTACCAGGGTGCTTCTAAGTTACTTAAAAAAAAAAGTCTACAAAATTTTTTTTTCATTTGCATAAGTTCACAACTTTGATGGTCACAAGGCTGCCTTCTCCTTATTGAGCAGATGTGTTCTCCCCTAGTTCCTCTTCTGGCCAGGCCCTGGGCCCTAGACATCCATCCTTTCCCCCACAGCCCACCTTTCCAAACAGACAAGGCCAGCCAAGGTGTTCTTTTCTTATAAACAAATGCCAGCTTATTGAACAGGAAATGCCAGCAAGTAACCAATTGGGTAGATGGAGGGCTACATTACCTTCAGAGCATCTGGGGGTGTCTCCCACCAGTGTGGGTCATTTCTGATAATTATAAGGATAGCTCTAGGTAGAGTGGGTGAGTCATGGCAACCCTGACCTCAGAGGGCAGGCGTAGAGTATGTGGTGTTCACAAGTGTTAGAGAGTTGGGGGCTAGCTCTGGATTTGAATTTTAGGTAGAAGGGCATCTTTAGATTTTAGGGCACTTCTGAACCTCAATCCCTGGACAAGGCAGTCATCACATAAGAACATCGACCTTCTCCACCTTGTAGCACAGGAGGGTAGGGAGGGCAGTGTGGGTTGTGGGTTCGTTTGGCCTTGCTTTTTTATGTAAGGTAAGCTAGGTTTGTCTTCCCTTTCCATTTTCCCTAACTGGATGAAAGGACATAATCCAAATCCCTTTTTTTGGAGAACGGCCAGTCTGAGGGGAAGTGGGAGGCCAGAAATGAGAATCCTCTGAAAAGATTGTGAAATACTGATTTTCATTCTTTCAAGCTTATTTGTAAATACCTATTTGAATGCTGTGTATTTGTACAGGAATTTGAGCAAAAAATGTATAGAGTGTGATGTCCAATTGGTATTCAGCCCTATAAATGTGTTTTTAACCTCTGGCATTCTGTGCTTATTTAAAATAAGAAAACTTCTAACCATTTTTTTTTTGTGTATTTATGTTTAAAAAAGTGGTTTAAAAATTATCTTATACCTGTACCAGAAAGCAAAGTTAAGACTTGTGTCCCAAAAGGTATTTTACTGTATATATTGTGGTAGCATGTTCTAAATCCAACAAGTAATGTGAATTTTAGATGTAAATATCTGCCACTTGATTCTCCCCCTTTCCCCACTCCTTTGACTGCTGTGATGTGAATTAAAGATGAATACCTGATACTGACCCACTGAATTCACTGAATGGGAGCAGCCCAAGTGCCCCTCTCCATCCCTTGTCGCTGGGCTCCAAGCCCTTTAGCCCCATAGAAACCTCTCTGCACGGAGCACGGAGCCAGCCTTTTCCACGCCCTGCCTTCAGACAGCCAGCCAAGCCCTGCACTTGGAAGGGAGGGCAGCCAAAGAGGAAACCCCCTCAAGTGCTCGTCGGCTGACTCGCGGGCCCCCACCCAGGAGGCGCCCCCGGCAGCCGGAGATCCTGAGGCTCGGTGGGAAAGCCGGAGGCGGCGGGCCAGTCCTTTAGCTCCCCGCTGAGGCGGGCCGGCTCGGATCGTACAGCCACAGCACCTAAGGAGGCCAGGCGCTCCCCGAGGCCTAGGACGGCCGCTCGGAGGGGGCCCTTCCAATGAGAAATCCTCCAGCCCAGCTTCTGTCCACCCCGGCCGGCGTCCAGTTAGCTCCTACAGGACGGGTTCCGGCCTGATGCGGACATTCAGACCCGGTCGGCAAGCCTCGCGGGCGCAAGAGCTCCCGCAGACGTTCCCGAAGCCTGGATCCTCCGCCCACGGTATCGTTTGAAAAAAGAAAGAACCTCCCCGAAACCTGGCCTGCAGCGGTCTGCTCTCCCTGCCTGCCCTTGGGGCCCCGGGGCGGGGAGGGGTTTTTCGGGCAGACGTGGGTCCCAGAGCAGGGACTACTCGGGACAAGTCTGGCGCAAAGCTGAAGCCGAACCCCACACCAGTCCTCTGCGCCAGTCAGCGATGCCCCGCCTCTGTCACAGCGGCTGCCCCTACTCAAGATGGTGGCCCGGACCCCTTCCGCCGCCTTCGCGGCCGCTTCCTGCCGATCCCCCTGGTTCAATCAGCGGCCGACAACTGTCTAGGGCCAAGGGCGGGCGAAGCTACCAGCCAATAAGAAAGGGCAGCGTGGAGCGGCCCGTCTGGGCTCCCGGGCGCGTGGACCAATGAGAGCGCGGCGTGTGGGAGGGCGCGGGGTCCGCCCGCCAATGGGGAACTACGGCGCGCGGCCGGGACCCGGAGGCAGCTCCTCACGGCGGGCGCGGTTCAGTCCGGCAGCGGCGGCGGCGGCGGCGGCGGCGGCGGTGGAGGAGGAGGAGGAGGATGTGGGCCACGCAGGGGCTGGCGGTGGCGCTGGCTCTGAGCGTGTTGCCGGGCGGCCGGGCTCTGCGGCCAGGCGACTGCGAAGGTGCGGCGGGGCCGGGGTCCGCGCACCGAGGCCGGCCTGGCGGCGGCTCTGAACCCACCCAGACCACGGAACGGCCGAGAGGCCGGGGCTGGAACGGGCGGGGGCGGCGGCCGTCCCAGCGGGGTCCGCCCGAAGAGGGGCGGACGCCGGCCTAGAAAACAGTTCCTGGGCCTAGGAAACTGGTCCAACAAGAAAAAGTTGGGACTAGATCGTGCAGAAAACTTGGCTTGAAATTGAGATAACGCCGGAGTTTCTTTCCTTTCCCATCACGGGCAGAGGCTCTCCCTGGCCCAGGTCGGGAGTCCCCAGGGCCGGCCATGGGCACCATTCTGGGGCCGGTGGGCCTGCGAAGCCGCACCTCGGGTTCGATGTTGTATTTGGAAATGAGAAGCATTTGGATTGTTTTTGTCTTCGCCCTCCGGTTTGGCCTCTTCTGAGGTCACAGTGAGTCCATCCCAAGGACACGTGTTCAATCTCGGCTTAAACTTTATGGAAGGAGCAGGGAGGAGCCATGTGTGGGTCACTGGGTGATGCTCGTTCCCCATGTGCCCTAGGTGTACCAAGGGACCCCAGCAACCCGGAGGTGGGTTCTGCCCACCCGTGGGCACCTGAGAAAACCCGGTGATGGAAAAACTCATCTCTCACCTTGTCTGCTATTTAAATTGATGACGGAGTTCCCTCCTGGTGGATTGGGGTGCACCTTGGTGATTGCTGAGCATCTCCCTTCCCTCTCTTTTCCAGTCTGTATCTCTTATCTGGGAAGATTTTATCAGGACCTCAAAGATCGAGATGTCACATTCTCACCATCCTCTGTTGAAAAAGAGCTTATAAAATTCTGCCGGGAAGCAAGAGGCAAAGAGAATCGGTTGGTGAGTAGCTGGTTACCCTCCCTGGCTGGCCCTGCCCACTTGCCTGTTCAGGAGGTTAACTGTTCTGTTAGTATGCTAGTGTGGGACTCCTGTCTCCAGTGTTTTCATGAATTCTGCAGTTGTGAGGTTTTGTTACCCTGTTAGTATTGAATGAGCACGTACTGGGTGCTGGGCACTGGGAGTATCAGTGGGGAGAAATGACAGGCAAACAAATGACAGCAGTGGGATGAGTGTCCAGCAGAAAATAGACCACGGTGCACTGGCAGAGAGGGGAGATGCTGATTTAGGCAAAATAGTCAAGAATCTCCCTGAGGAAGAGTTGTCATTGCAAGGCAGGAGGGAAGAGCATCCCAGGAAGAGGGAACAACCATGTGAGTGTTCAGAGGCCACGTGCAAGGACACAAGATAACAAAGTGGGCACAGGGTACGCCAGTGCTGAATTGGGACAAGAGCCCTAATGAAATGATGATTTTTGTAGCTTTAATTTCCCTGGCAATCGCTGGTTTGTCTTTTTTTATTTTTATTTATTTATTTTTTAATTTTTTAAATGTTTTTATTTATTTTTGAAGGAGAGAGCATGAACGGGGGAGGAGCAGAGAGAGAGGGAGACACAGAATTGGAAGCAGGCCCCAGGCTCTAAGCTGTCAGCACAGAGCCAGATGCGCGGCTCGAACTCACAAACTGTGAGACCTTGACCTGAGCCGAAGTCAGACGCTTAACCGACTGAGCCACCCAGGCGCCCCTGTGTGTCTTTTTTTTTAAAGGTCTGAATCCTGGTGACTCTTAAACTTATTTGGAGGTTGTCAGCTCTGGGACTGAGCATGTATTAAGAGCCCAGGGTTTACGCTGACTGAATCTGACCGCTGGTACAGAGAGGGCGTGGGGAAAGGGGGTCCTGGCAAAGAGATGTTTTGAGATATCAGTGTGTTGTGGAGGAGAAGGCTTTCAAGGGAAACCTCCTGAAGGTCATTGTCCTTTCTTGCTGCAGTGCTACTACATTGGGGCCACAGATGACGCTGCCACTAAGATCATCAACGAGGTGTCGAAGCCCCTGGCCCACCACATCCCTGTGGAGAAGGTCTGTGAGAAGCTCAAAAAGAAGGACAGCCAGATCTGTGAGCTAAAGTATGGTGAGTGTGGCTAAACCTTATTTAACAAACACGGACCCTCTGAGCTCAGGCATTAGGAGTCAACTTTGTAGCTGGGAGAGGCAGGTGAGAAATGAGAGCCTCGTGAGTTTTATAGCCGGGTAGACTGTGCTAAGTGAGGGGCAGGGTGGATCTGGCCTTATGGGTGGAGGTCTGAATAGGGCTCACTGAGGAGGTGACATTCAACATACTTTGGAGGCAGGCGGTGGATTAGCCAAGGGGAACAGCTAAGGGAAGAACATTCCAGGCTGAGCAAACAGGCAGTGCAGAGGCAGCCAGAGGCATGGCAGGTAGACAGGGCACAGAGGGCCTTGCAGATTGGTGAAGATTTGGCTTCAGATCTTTAATCTGTGTCAAGTTGGGAACATGGGATTTTGAGCAGAGAAGGGATGTGGTCTGACCTTTCCTGGCCATAAGCTCTGAAGGCCCAGCAATCTTCCTCATTTTGAAGAGAAATGCTGTGTGCAGACAGGCAGGCCAGGAGTTCCAGCTGCTGCAGCATCTCTCTTGCCGACATTACTGGTGGGGAAAAGCAGGCCTCAGAAACAGGACCAGGAATAGTTGTCCTCGTCTGTAAAGTTTAAGCAGCACCAGCATATTTTACTGTGACTTGAGTGTCCCAAGGGCCTGTGTTTGTCCACTTGTGTCAAGGATGCCCAGTCTCCTGACCGTGACCTGACAGGCTGTTGGCTCAAGGTCTCTCTGTGGTCACAAGTGGTTGTGGAGAGAGTAAGCTCTTGACCAGGGCCTGTGTTGGGAAATTGGAGCTAGGGGGTCTCTCTGCTCTGTCACCGTGGAGCTGTCATTCTACAGTGACTTGATCTCTACTGTGACTATTTTTCAAGGCACTTGGATTGGGAACCACATTTCTCCTGTAAGGTTCCTCCTGTAAGAACCATGTAGCCCCCATCCCTGTCCTTGGCAATACTGCATGTCTGGGTGGATGCTGCCAGCGTGAGACCAGCCTTCCGGTGAAAGGGCCCAGGCCAGTTCCCCCAGTTCAGGGCAGTGGGCACAGACACACACCTGCAGGTGTCTGGAAACGTCTGTCCCTCTCAGACCAGTAGGACTGCTTGTTTTAGCAGATGGGACGCTGTGCTGGGGTGACCCATCCCAGGACTATGAGGGTCCGTGGCCGCTCCCACGAGCTCTCCCTACTCTCTCCTCCAGACAAGCAGATTGACCTGAGCACAGTGGACCTGAAGAAGCTCCGGGTTAAAGAACTCAAGAAGATCCTGGACGACTGGGGGGAGACGTGCAAAGGCTGTGCGGAGAAGTCTGACTACATCCGGAAGATTAATGAACTGATGCCTAAATATGCCCCCAAGGCAGCCGGTTCACGGACTGATTTGTAGTCTGCCCGCCCCCCGCTGCACCTGTGGGGAAAGCATTCCACTTGCGTCTTCCCTGCAGCCTTTTTGTAATTTATTTTTTAGGCAGGCTCCTGACAATGTCAGGTGTGAAGCCTGGAGCTCTCCTGCCGATGCTGGCTCTACAGCGCCCCCTGGGGGGTTCACTTTGTTCTGTTGCTGGTTTACTCTAGGACTTCAAAGTGTGTTTGGGAATTTTTTATTAAAGGAAGAACATTTCTAGCTGTCCCTGGAGAATTAAAGTGAATCTGAAATAGGATTTCAGCCCTAACGAAGATCCCAGCAGTTTATGCTTTCCAGTTCACAAGAGTTGTCTGCTATCTTCACATCTGCCCCTTGGCCGCCAGTGCCGGAGATGCCAGGCAGGACACGGGCTGAGGCATGGGGGCTCGTGCAGGACTGGAGGCAAGCCCTGGAGAAGACTGGGTCCCATGCCTCACCCCGAGGTGACTTGGAGTGGAAGTCCCACCTGGGGAGCTGGAGGCCGAACAGCCTCTTGGCAGAGCACAGGGGGTTGAATCTGGTGTGCAAGGGAGGGGCTTATATCAGGGCTGGGTCCGAGCAGGACTGAGGGTATGTTTAGTATGGTTTTCTGGAATGATGACTTCAGTAGCTGCCTGTGTTCAGTACCATCACATTTCTAAAGATGCTCTTGGGCTGGCTTCCTCCACCAAGCACCATCCAGATCTGGCCATCTACTTGGTCATCTGAGTTTGTGGTGTGGGGTCAGTCCCAAGCCTCTGATGCCTAATTGGGGTTTTGTGAGATATGCAGGGGTCGGTTTATACAAAGAGTCAGTGAGAGCTTGCCTTTTGCCTTTATTTACCCAAGATAAGTCTAAAATAGTTGAGGTCTTATCCCCAGTGTCTCCAGAGTCTGGTTTTTTTAGTTACTTCTGGGGTTGGCTCTTGGGGAACCCAGTTGTCAGTGTAAGCTGTGGCTTGGTGGACACCCCTCTGCTTCTCGGGCCTGCAGAGACCACCTGAAGGGAAAGACCAGTAGTGCTTTTCCAAGAAAGACTTCAGTCTTCCTTTTTTGCAGTTTATTTATACAGTTGCTAAATTCAGTTTGCCTACACAGGCCTTGTCACAGCCTGCAGTGGCATCCACTACTGCAGTGGCCCCACATTTTGCACATCTGCAACACCACATCTAAGAGGAAAGCAAGGCTGAGCCACTTCTCAGGCCAAGACTTCCTTGTTTTGGAGAATGAGCTGTTAGGATCTGACAAGCGCAGTGTCCTGAGCCCCTTACAGGCACTGGGAAAATCCACAGCTAAAGGCAGAAGCCTTAGGAGATGGATGGCCATGGCCTATAGGCCACACTGAACACAAGAACAGGGAAAACAACAACCGCTCCCACTGTAGGGCTGACCCCCGAGGTTATCTATGAAAGGGTTAACTCGTCCCTTCTGGAAGTGTAGGTCAGTTCTGGCAATGTTACAGGTGTTTTCGTGTAAGCTTTCCCCCTTGCACCTGCCTCAGCTGTTCCAGGAGTGGTTTGTTTATGGTTGTGGGAGGAGGAGGAGCTGGTAGGCTTTAACCCACCCCACAGTTGCCTTGCTGAAGTTGGGTCAGGTTCTGCAATGCTTCCAACAGCTCTCGGGGGAATGAAGCCATCCTGAGGGGGCTTGGGCGCCTGGGCAGAATTAATTCCACCCACCCCACTGGCCCCACATCTCGCCTGGAGGTGAACAGAAGGGCCCTGGTCAGCCAGAGGTAAGCGTGGCAAGCTGTGGTAACTACTGGATTTGGCTTTGTCTTCACCCATGGCTCCGTGGCCCTGTCCTTACAGCCCACTGTCTGCTCAGGTGGCTGCAGGAGAGGGTGGGCCCAGTGGCGCCAAGGAGCCTATTCCCACTTGGTAAACGGCAGGTTTGCTGGCTCGCCTGCCAGGTCTGGCCTTGTGCATTCAGAGCCCATGGCCTCGCGGCCTTTACGGCGATCACTGCATAGGATACCAGAACGCTGAGGATGCCTGTTCTGTGGGCGGTGGGTCCTGGACGGGGCCTACGGAGGTTCTCGCGCCTGTCCATTCCGGACCCTAGTCGGGAGACGGCCGTGGTGGGGATTTGGGGGAGGCCACCTAAAGAACCACTGGGTTAAGACCCGGGAGCCCGGCGCCCACAGACGCTGCCACTCCTACTCCACGCGTCGTGGGACACCCAGGGCCCGCAGCCCACGGGGGTCAGTGTCAGTGCAAGCCAGCCTGGCTCTCAGGAGGGCCATGAATTTCCGCGTAGTCCAGAGCCTTGGCCGCGGGGTGGCGTCAGAGCTCACTTTCAAGACCACCCGGGGTCACGTGGCACGGAGAGGCGCCGTCCGATGACGTATGCCGGCGCAGCTCTCGCCCCGCCCGCCGCCGGGTCACGTGACAGTCCGGCGCAGCCTGATAACGCGACGCCCGGCCCCTGGGCGCTGCTCCCGCCCCGCCCCGCTGCCACCGCCGCGCCGAGTCCTTTTGTCCAAGATGGCGGCGCCGGGGGCGCTGCCTCCTCGGCCGCCGCCGCCGCCGCTGTGAGGGGCCTGCGGGCCGCCCGCCCGCCCGCTGCGCCGGCGCCATGAAGAGGCAGAGCGAGCGAGACTCGAGCCCAAGCGGGCGCGGCTCGTCATCGTCGGCCAAGCGGCCGCGGGAGCGCGAACGGGAGGCGGAGGCGGGCGGGCGGCGGGCAGCGCACAAGGCCTCGGGCGGCGCCAAGCATCCCGTTCCAACGCGGGCCCGCGACAAACCCCGCGGGAGCGGGGGCGGCGGGGGTGGGCATCGCGACGGCCGCGGCGCCGGGGACGCGAATCACCGTGCGAGCAGCGGCCGCTCCTCGGGCTCGGGCGCCGGCGGCGGGGGACGCGGCGGCAAGGCCTCCGGGGACCCAGGCGCTTCAGGTGCTTCGCCCCGCGCGTCTCCGCTGCCGCCACCTCCGCCGCCGCCCGGGACCGAGCCCGCGGGTCCCGGCTCGTCGGCGGCCGCACCTGAGTACAAGACGCTGCTCATCAGCAGCCTGAGCCCTGCGCTGCCCGCCGAGCACCTCGAGGACCGGCTCTTCCATCAGTTCAAGCGCTTCGGTGAGATCAGCCTGCGCCTGTCGCACACGCCAGAGCTGGGCCGCGTGGCCTACGTGAACTTCCGGCATCCGCAGGACGCACGCGAGGCCCGCCAGCACGCCCTGGCCCGCCAGCTGCTGCTCTACGACCGGCCGCTCAAGGTGGAGCCCGTGTACCTGCGCGGCGGCGGCGGCGGCAGTGGTGGCGGCGGTGGGAGCAGCCGGCGAAGCAGCAGCAGCAGCGCTGCCGCCTCCACGCCGCCCCCAGGTCCCCCCGCCCCCGCGGACCCGCTAGGCTACCTGCCACTGCACAGTGGCTACCAATATAAGCAGCGCTCGCTGTCCCCCGTAGCCGCCCCGCCGCTGCGGGAGCCCCGTGCTCGCCACGCCGCCGCAGCCTTTGCCCTGGATGCTGCCGCCGCTGCCGCAGTGGGACTATCCCGGGAGCGGGCCCTGGACTACTACGGGCTTTACGACGATCGCGGGCGTCCCTACGGCTACCCGGCCGTGTGCGAGGAGGACCTGATGCCTGAGGACGACCAGCGCGCCACGCGCAACCTCTTCATCGGGAACCTGGACCACAGCGTGTCTGAGGTGGAGTTGCGGCGGGCCTTCGAGAAGTACGGCATCATCGAGGAGGTGGTCATCAAGAGACCTGCCCGTGGCCAGGGCGGTGCGTATGCCTTCCTCAAGTTCCAGAACTTAGACATGGCCCACAGGGCTAAGGTGGCCATGTCAGGCCGGGTGATTGGCCGCAACCCCATTAAGATAGGCTATGGCAAGGCCAACCCCACCACTCGCCTCTGGGTGGGTGGCCTGGGACCTAACACCTCACTGGCCGCTCTGGCTCGGGAGTTTGATCGCTTTGGGAGCATTCGAACCATTGATCACGTCAAGGGAGATAGCTTTGCTTACATCCAGTATGAGAGCTTGGATGCAGCCCAGGCTGCCTGTGCAAAAATGAGGGGCTTTCCCTTGGGTGGTCCAGACCGAAGGCTGCGCGTGGATTTTGCCAAAGCAGAGGAGACTCGATATCCCCAGCAGTACCAGCCCTCACCCCTCCCCGTGCATTATGAGCTGGTGCCAGATGGATATACCCGGCACCGAAACCTGGATGCTGACCTGCGGGTGCGGGATAGGACCCCCCCACACCTCCTGTACTCAGACCGAGACCGGACCTTTTTGGAAGGGGACTGGACCAGCCCTAGTAAAAGCTCTGACCGGCGAAACAGCTTGGAGGGCTACAGCCGCTCGGTGCGCAGCCGGAGTGGAGAACGCTGGGGAGATGGGGACCGGGGCCTGCCCAAGCCCTGGGAGGAGAGGCGGAAGCGGAGGAGCCTTTCCAGTGACCGCGGGAGGACAACCCACTCCCCTTACGAGGAACGGAGCAGGACCAAGGGTGGTGGGCAGCAGGTGGACCGGGGCTCTGATCGCACTCCTGAGCGCAGCCGTAAGGAGAACCACGCCAGTGACGGGACCAAGGAGTCAAGCAGCAATTCTCTCAGCAACAGCAGACATGGGGCTGAGGAGCGGAGTCACCACCACCACCATGAGGCTCCAGACTCTTCCCACGGGAAGAAGACACGAGAGAGCGAGCGCAATCATCGGACCTCTGAGGCTGAGCCCAAGCCTCTGGAAGAGCCAAAACACGAGACCAAAAAGCTCAAGAATCTTTCTGAGTATGCCCAGACACTGCAGCTGGGTTGGAATGGGCTCCTAGTGTTGAAAAACAGTTGCTTCCCGACATCTATGCACATCCTAGAGGGGGACCAAGGGGTTATCACTGGCCTCCTCAAAGATCACACTTCTGGGAGCAAGCTGACCCAGTTGAAGATCGCCCAGCGCCTGCGACTGGACCAGCCCAAGCTCGATGAGGTCACACGGCGCATCAAGCAGGGGAGCCCCAATGGCTATGCAGTGCTTCTAGCCACCCAGGCAACCCCCAGCGGGCCTGGCACTGAGGGGATGCCCACGGTGGAGCCAGGCCTACAGAGGCGGCTTCTCAGGAACCTGGTCTCCTACTTGAAACAGAAGCAGGCCGCGGGGGTGATCAGCCTGCCGGTGGGTGGTTCCAAGGGCAGAGACAGCACGGGCATGCTCTATGCCTTCCCGCCCTGTGACTTTTCACAGCAGTACCTCCAGTCAGCACTGAGGACATTGGGCAAGCTAGAAGAAGAACACATGGTGATAGTTATAGTAAGAGACACTGCCTAGCCCAGACCTGTTTCCAGCTCCGCATTTGTGTCACAAAAGCAGTCATTTTAAAATCTGATTCCCCACCTCCTACTCCCTTGGTTTGAGTTCTCTGCTGGGTTATTTTGGTTCATTTGGTGGGGGACGAGAGTCCTGACCCCTACCAACACTAAGTTCTTAGATTTTTGAGGGTTTTTTTACAGCGATGAGCAAAGGGACTCCTGTCACATTGATTTCTAGTGTACAAGATACTGTCTGCTGTGTTCTGTATTTTTTTATTTTTTAACTAACTGTACGGAAAGTTGTCAGTAAAGCCTTTGTCAGAGGATGGATTTTTAATCCTGTTCAGAGTCTTGGTTTAATCAAGTTTTTCCCCACTGCACACAAATGCGCCATCTTTGCGGCACTGGTGTAGCGCAGAGTTCTGATGGATTGTCCGCTATCAGTCCCTCAGCTCTTTGGGCTGGGTCAGGACTGCGTTCACATTTTTAACCTTGGCTGAGAGCAGGTGGGCTTCAATTTGCCTCTGGACCCTACCTTGCCTGGCTGAGCAAAGCCCATGCAAAGGAAAGGGGTGAGCCTAAGGTCTATAACCAGCAGCTGTGGTAGTTTTGGAGTTTTTGTTCTCTTGCCCTAAACGTGCGTGTTCATCCACTTGAGGTGTAGCTGTTGGACAAGGTGCCCGATCTTGAGGTCTTTTTGCGAGCCGGTAGTCTAGCAGTTGTGTGGTCTTGTAGTCATGGGGAAGAACAGTGTAATATTGGTGCCAAGGGGCCTCGTTCTCACATATCCATGCAGGCTCCCTCTCTTGTTCAGCCTCGCAGCCTTAATGTGGTAGCCCAGGAATGCTCAGTTGGAGACTGAGCTGCCTCAAACTCCCAGGGACACTAGAGGCCAGATGTCGGAATGGAGGGTGACAGGAAGCTTCTCTGGGCTAATTCTTGAACTTGACCCAATGTTTGTGAATTCTGGTTCTTCCTTTGGTTATTCATGGCTGATGTGTCAAAGGAACAGGCCTCTGCCCAGTAACTAGAGCTTTTGTGAGGGACATTGAATCCCCAGACGGAAGAATTTTTGCAATGCTGTAAGGGAACATGATGGGTTAGGAGGATGCTCTTAACTGGCTTACCTGTTTCTCAGGTGCAAGGTAAGAGAGAGTGCCTCAGCCTCTTGCCCTGCTGCTGAGGTGGAACCACTGGAAGAAAGGTGCTTCTGTGGGGAATGCGGTCACAGGTACCAAGCTTTGGCTTGTTGGCTTGAATGGCTTTGACTAGCACTGCCCAAGCTAGGGGGCAATGTGGAGGCATCCTTGAGCTGGGAGGGACTCTTTAAAAAATTACTAATGCTGTCATCACTGGTCTCTAGTGAGGTCATAGGGCAAATGAAGCCAGCACCATTGGAGACCAGGGAGGGAAACCAGTCATACAGCAGTTGTCACCGTGTCCCAAAAGGCTCATTGTCAGAGCTGAGGGACAGCAGAAGCCCCAGTAAGAGAAATGAACCCCCAAAAGGCCAGGAACTCTAGGTTCTGTGGGCCATGCCACTCTCCTGGCCTGGCCCATTACCCCAGCTGGGGCAAGGCAACACAGGTGACAGCCAGATGTTTTGAGACAGTTGTGAAGTGGAGGCTGAGGCTCAGTGTATCCTGCATGGAGAATACATGCTTGTCCACAAGGACAATGAAGGAGGTGGCTTTTAGGGACCTTGGAGATTTAAAATGAACAGGGTAAGGTGCCTGGGCAAGTACTGCTCACTGGGCTAAAGCTGGTACTCATGAGAGAACAAGCATGTTCACAACAGAAAACCTTAACAAAGGAGGTGTTAAATGTGTTTATTTGTCTGTTTGTACTTGAGCTGTGGCAACACCTGCAGGGTATCTAAGCAAGTCTATGGTGGGGGGGGGGGGGCAGCTGACCACAGCTCCACCATCCTGGGGTAGCTCATAATGCCAGGAGTGGCCCTTATCTTGTTCAGAGCAAGCGAGGTAGGGGTGACCTGAAGGCACAACACAGGGCTTCCTGCAGATCTTCGAGAAATGCCTGGGTCACACACAGGCCAGAGGTGCCTTGCCCCTTAAGTCCCAAACTTCTCTGGGCTGATCCTTCACAGAGTGGGTGCTCAGAACCCAGAATACTACACCTCCTAGCATTCCCAGATGGAAACCTGGAGAAGACACTTCAACTCTTGACTTGTCCGCTCTTCAGGGATAGGTGTTCTCTGTTCCCAAAAGGAAATACAGAGTTTTAGTAAAGAGCCATGCCTACTGTGTGACCTTCCTCCTCCTCTTCCTTGGACCCTCTTCTCAACCACTTCCTTCCTTTGGCTCTTAAGACAAAGCAGGTTCTGTGACCTTCTCTCAGGCCTTGGCCAGCACTAGTAAGGGTAAGTCAGGTGGTCAAGGCACTGGTTGATTTCAGACTGCTCCAGAGAGAACAATTTAACTGCAGGCATCAAGCACCTCCACCTGGGGGTTCGGGTCCTCTCTCAGGGGTTGCTTTAAAAAAAAAAAAAAAAATCAACCTGAGGCCAAAAAAAAAAAAAAAAAAAAAAAAAATGTGAAGAAAAGTTTGCCTCCTCATTGGTTTCCTAGTATTGTACAGATTTCTTCCTAAGTGACTCCAATCTTAAGCCCTGGTATAGTAAGAAATAGGGCTGATGTCTCAAGCCTCTCAGGGCGCTTCCCTAAAGGCACGTTGTCAAGTCAACCAGAACTTTGCTTTCCTGCTGGAGGGCCTCATCTCCACCCCAGAGACCCGTAGGCACTCCCAAGAGCTGCTGGCAGAGTTTAGGGACACAGCCAGTGGCTCAGCTGAGTTCCTGTCTAGAATATAGCGCTTTTACTTTTGGCCTTTTAACCTGCTTTCTTCTGCATCCAGCACCAGCAATCAAGGCTACACCACGGGTCAGGTGTTAGCAACCCACTAAAGCTGAGGCATGAAGCTGAGACCTCTGCTCTCTAAAGGACCAAGAGCTAACTACCTGTCTGACACAGGCCCGTGTTTGTGTGTGTGACAAATTGTATGGTATTCCAAAGCCCGACAGGGCTCTGCCAGCCCGTGGTGAGTTTTAGCCATGTTGTCTTGCTTGTTTACTTCACAACCAAATTTGTCCCCTCTTCTCTTGGCAAAGGGAGAAAAATGTCTCTAGCCATGTGATACCTACATAATAGAAACCAAGAAGCTATTACTTGAGCGAACTCAAAAGGAAGAGACAGGTCTGTTTACTGGGAAGGAAAGCAGGGTGAGGTGGGGTCAGTGAAAAGGTCAGAGCATGTGGCACTTCCCTGGCAGTAGCGCAGTTTTAACCAACCGCAGGCTGATTTTGGAGGCCCAAGACTGCATCTGCAAACCCAGGCTGCCCAAGCCCCCGCTGCCCCCAAACCGCCAAAAGTGAACAACTCCGGTCCGCTATCACTGTCCCTTAAGGAAACTGGTGACAGTCACCCACCCGACTATGGAGATGGCCAAAACGTTTTCACTCCTTAGCTTTGCCAGCATGTTTCTCCAAAACTCCCCAGGACCCCTAACTTGCCAGTTCCACCAAACACGTACGGCAGAGCTGCCTTCTTGAGTCAGTCTGGGACAGAGAGATGTGCCCACGGTGGACAATGCCCAAGCCTCTCCTCCACCCCACGTGGTTGATTCTCGGGCACAGACCGTTACTCCCTCTGGAGCATGGCTGCAGACCAGGTTTAGACACTGTGACTAAGCTACTTTTCTCCCCAGAGTGCTTTATTTGGGCAGAATGTGTTCTCACCGCCATCCTGGACTGCCTCTCCCAGAAGGCGTCTTCTCTACTGGCTGGCTAGAGCTGCAGGGAAAGGGACCATCACACTTTGGTAAAGAGAACAGGGAAAGGCCATGAACAAACAAAGACAGACTTGTAGTTTATTTTGTATTTTTTTTAAATAAATACACTTTACATTAAAGAAAAAAGGCCTTTGATTTGTAATTTCCACATTGGGGAGAAAGGGAAGAAAAAAATTTTTGAAAAACAATCACAAAGAAAAATAGAGGGAGTGAACTTATATCCTAAGTTCCCTCAACTCCACAAAACCAATATCCACAACGACCTTGCTGCCCCCAAACCATGAAGGTGGGTGAACCTGGGCATTTACTCAGCAAACAAGCAGTGCCTTCCTCCCCACCTCGGGCACGAAGGAAAGCAAATTAACCTGACAGCATATGAGGCAACAAAACAGGTTAAAAAATCATATATTATATTTATAATAAAATATTCTTAATCCTTATCAATTTAAGAAACCACGATTTTCCTTTTCATTTAAATACGTATGTAAAAATGCCTCTGTATTGTTCTTTAGACATCATTTTCTTCCATAGAAAATGAAGTGCAGGGACAAGAGACCTGGTGGATATAAGTTCATACCCTCAGTTATAAATGCCTGTTTTTTTTTTCTTTTTAAGTTTTATAAAAAACTATTTCTTGTTCTTTAAGTAAAGAACGTTATACAAAGAAAATATATTGTGAAATAACCCCAGAGACATGTTCCCCCCCCCCCCCCTTGAGGAAAGAGCTGTCCATCCTAGGAGAAGGGGGGAAGCAGAATAGGGCCTAAACCCTGTTGTCTTTTTGTGGTTGTTATTGTTTTAGAAGGACCCTCAGATTCCAGTGAGGCTCTCTAAGCCATATTCCTGTGAATGCAGGGCATGCAGTTCCTTAAAAGACAGCCCTGGGAGATGGGGAAGGGAAGGTGTTCTGAATTCATCTGACTCAGTTTCTCGCCTGTCAAGAATGTCTTCCACATGATGATGGTCCCTCACTCATTCAGAGATAAGATGATGTCATCTTCCAAATCAGAGTTGTCAGAGCTGTCCGCTGAAAGGGAAGAAGACAGAGAGACTAGGTTATGCACTAGGCTTACAGGAAGCTTTTAGGAAGGAAACACCTACATACACACATTTATGCTTGACCAGAGTTAACTGCCAGTTTCCAGAAAGAAGAAAACACAATTAACTACTTGGAGCTGGCTCTGGAGAATTTACTTGTTGCCAACAGTGGCCACCCTGGGGCCTTTTACTCTCGTGCCTTTCAAAGGGCCTGGATGCAATGCTCTCTGCTTTCTAGAGGTGCTTCCTGCTGGGGACGGGGGGGGGGGGGGGGGGGGTTGGCTAAAGGGACAGGGCAAGCCCTGAAGCTTCTGCATAGCTGCAAAGGGGCAGGGCTGAGGGAGTAGTGACTGAGCCCTTTGGCCTCGTGTCCTTCAGGGATGGGTGCACAAGCCTGCCCGATCCCCCCAGGACTACTAAAAAGGGAGTCCAAGCCCAAGCAAGAGTGAGATTTCTCTTAAACTCTCAACAACTCTCTTATCAAAGACCTCATAAGG